GAAGAGCAGGTGAGTAGACGCAAAGGGAAACAATATACTGAGATGCCTGGCCTCTCAAGTGGCTTCTCAGATTGCTGGGCTTTGAGAGGAGGAAAACCCAAGTGAGGAAAGAAAAATCAATGGTGCCTGTCAGATTTTTTTGATCTGTCCTTTTTTTCCAACAAGGCACCAGCTCTGTCTGTTTGTGCTAGTGTTACGTTCAACTCCCACAACCATCCCTTCATTTTTCCCTCTGTTGTTCGCTTTACATCCCTCTTTTTTCTTAATGCCTGAGCTGTTAAGAGGCAATATGGGTGTTTTTTATATTGAAGCACATTAAAGATTTTAGCAAAATACTGGGTCTCTGAAATTTTTAATGGGACATTGGACTTATATCCTCCCCAACTCTCTCTGACTTAATTGTTATAAATACCTCCCAGTTTCTTTCTCTTAATCTCTTAAACACAAAAACAGGTCTTATATCAGCTAGCTAGTTTCATTGACGTAATCTTCTACCTCTGTGATGTTGACAGTTCCTATCTGACAATAGCATTTTTTTTCAGTCTGTAAAAAAAAACCCTGCAGTCTCAATACTCCTCAAGGGGCACCCAACTCCAAGAAGAAATCTGCTTTTAGTGCCACAGATGTCCACTCAGGGCTCTGGTCAGAAGAATTCTATTAGAAAAAACCTGTGTTACTCTTGGCATAAAAAAAGAGCTGCTGGTTACATAAATTAAAAAAAGGAAAAAAGGACGTGTTCATTTATAGTTTTGATGTCTTCAGTGATAATGTAAATAGTCATATAAAAAAATAAAGAAAAGACATTGAATGAGAAGGTGTGTCCAAACTTTTGGCCTGTACTATGTATATATATATATATATATAATTATATATATAATATAATTTGTGTGAACCGACCCAATGATGTCCTGTTCAGCAGTACAACAGGTTTGGTGTCTGTTTTGAAAAGTAAGTTTTTAAATACAGGATTCTTAATGTTATTACGGCTGTCAGTGTTCAAAGTCTTTTCTTTTGTGTTAGAGTGAGAGACTCTTTTGTCAATAATGATAACTTTGTTTAGTGTTTCATGTCCCCTTTAAGAGGTCAAGTATAGCCATAGTGACCACAGAAAAGATGTTTGGTTTCATGACTTGGCATAACAGACATTCTTCTATATTACTGCCTTTATCCGTGTATTACCGAACTTTCCTTGACTAACAGGATCTGTAGGAGCTGGACAGCAGCATTGCATTTTTTGAGAGTCTGGACTAATTTATTCTAATAAGGAATCCAGGTATTACAAAAGCTGAACATATATATAAATATATATTTCAGTGACTTAAGGTTTTTGTTTCTCGTAGTGGCAGTTTGGCCTATGACTCGAATGTGATGAGAAGACACATACTGAGGCAAGAGACTCTTTTGTCAAATAAAGATACCTTTTCATCTAAGTGGACCTTCTTCCACCTGATACTTATTTGTCTCTGGTGGTACCTCTCATCTTTAGGTGTGGTTTTCTCTGAGCTCTGCTACCTCTCTTCTCCAGGATTCTGTCTTTGCTGTTACATCATTTGCCAGCAAATCTGTCTGCCTGCTTTATCTGTCTTTCTCTCCTTTCTTCTTTGTGCAAGTATTATCAACTCAGAGGTTAGTGACCTGCTTAGTGGCACTGAAACAGATGTTCAAGGGTCTGTGTCTCTGTGTGCAGAGCAACTTATGAGGGAGCTGAACAACAACAAATAACAAGTACTAGGCACTTAAACTGGAGAGATGGATTAGTGATTCATGCTTCAGGATGCACGGATGAAGGACGGGATTTGAAGTACAGGGTCTAAGGACTGATTAAAACAACTTCAGCCAGAGGGGATAGAGAAGAGACATTTGTTATTATTCTGTGATTCTCAGGCCAGCAGGGAGGCCTATGCTGAGCTTTCATGGGTCACAGCTGGGCTGAAGAAAAAACAGGGAGGAGGGAGAGACCAAAAAGTGCAGTGGGGAGAGCAGGGTTTAAGTATTTGTTGTGTTGAAGAAAATATTTGGAGCATGTTTTTTTTTTTTAAATCAGACATGTTTATTATTATTATTATTATTATTATTATTATTATTATTATTATTATTATTATTATTATTATTATTATTATTATTATTATTTACAAAAACACACAACAAACTCAGCACATTATTTGTCTGCACATCCATCATAAGAAATATTAACATAATGAAACAAATATATGAAAGAAAATACAATAGGGCAGAGTCCATTATTAGACCTGTACAATACTTGCAAGTGTTGAAGCAATAGTACTGTTTGAGAAACCAAGGCCATATTTTCAAGAATTGTCTTTTTGTTGAGTGAGGCACAAGTCGGGTATTCAAGAGGAAAACATTCCATAATAATCTCCTGCCACTTTGCTTTAGATGGTGTTTTTTCACTTATCCATGACAAAAAGATACTCTGCCTTGCAGTGTATATAGGAATATTATACAGACTGGTGGAGCAGGTCCCAACAATACCATCATGACATGGGTGACCCAAGAGTGGAAGAAAAGTCAAAGAAAAGCCACATTTTCATAAAAACTTTTTGGGATCCATAAAGGGGATGGAGTATTTTCTGAGTCGAAAATATCAGATATTTTGATCAGATATAGAATTTTACTGAGTAATACATGAATATGAGGTCCAGCAAATCATACTAGGACAGGCACAGTCGCGTGTACAAACTGCATCTTTATACCATATAACAAAGAGCTATTTTGCTGTTGATTTACTCTTCTATTGTACACAAGTCACATGTTTCAAAACAGAAATAAAGTCATAATTTGTGGCTACAGTTCTCTGCCTTTAGCCTGGGAATTGGTTGCAAGCACACTGTATTTAGAATGGACAACCTCACTTTGTTACAATTGATTGTGAGATACCACTCCAAAAGACTGCCTCTGTTGGCAGCAATTAAACTTAAACATTTTTTAAACCAATTTTAAAAATGTCAGAGACCCCACACATGATGATTCACATGTCTAGTCTTAATCTCTAGTCCTCTGACAACTCAAAGTGCTTTTACATTACATGTCACATTCACATGGCAGAAGTGGCTGTTGAAAGCGCCATTAGTTTTCAACTAATGATATCCACCACTAGGCACACCCAGCAGGGTTAAGTGTCTTTCGCAAGGACACTTTGGTATGAGGACAGTGGGACCTGAGATCGAACCCCCAACCTTCGGTTTGAGAGTTTGTCAACTCTACCACTGAGTCAAAGGATGATTTATTTGATCATTTTGTTCCTATAGTGTGTGGTGTGGAACAATGTGGTGAACCCAATACACCACACATACACCTGCCTTGACAATGACTGCTTTCCATTGTAAGCTGCTAAGCTTCTTGGTACATCCAACTGTGGTGGCAATAAGGAATTTGAGTCATTCTGCACTGCAGATGGGTTAATGCGTCAAAATATTTTATCAGATTAATCATGATGGAACAGTTTGTGTTAATGCATTATTTTTGACAGCCTTAGACAGCCATAAAGATATATCGAGATAGTCTTTTTAAAAGGGGAAAAGAAATTCAGTAAAAGTCACAAACTTTCATCTCTCCATCGACAACTCCATCCTCTCCCCCTCCTCCCACTGTCGCAACCTTGGCATTTTCTTCGACAGCAACCTCTCCTTCACCCACCACATAAAGCAAATCACTAAAACAGCCTACTTCCACCTCAAAAACATCGCCCGCCTCCGCCCCTCCCTCACCTCACCAGATTCAAGACCCTTCTCAAAACCCACCTCTTCCGCACTGCCTTTCATCCTTCCTAGCCCCCCCCCCCCGTTGGATTTTACCTGATTCTACATGTTTTTATTGACACTGTCGTAAATTTTTATTACTTATTGTTGCGTGTTTTATTGTTATTTGGATTTTACCCAATTCTACATGTTTTTATTATATTGCCGTAAATTTTATTACTTATTGATGTGTGTTTTTATTGCTTAACCCTGTACAGCGTCTTTGTGTTTTTTGAAAAGCGCTCTACAAATAAAATGTATTATTATTATTATTATTATTATTATTATTAAAAGTTTGGTATCACACAGAAACAAGGCTTGTGTTAAACACTCATACATTAATTAAAGACTTTTAAGATGACCATGTAGTTTTCATCAAAACTATATGACATCATCATTATTGGGTAAGTGAAAGTTATAACAGAGGAGAAAAAAGGATTCGGTCACATAGTGACAGGCTGCATTACATTACATCACTTTTTTCATTTTTTTGGAGACGAGCAGGTTTAGCTGAGATGAAGATTAGGAGATCTGAACACACATAAACACTTACTCACACATCACACAGCTGATCTGACACACAAAAACACAGCTGGTCAGATAAACCCAGAAATGTGATCAGTGGGCTAGTGTTTGACGTCACTGGGGTGCGTTTGGGATTAGTCAATGTTTTGCAAATGTGATGCACCAGTTTGAGGACTTGTGGAGTTGCATAACATCCCGTGTCAAAGGGATTGGGGTGTAACACAGTGACATGACTTGCCCTGGTTTCATAAAAAAATCAGTGTCATTTTGTAAGTGAACAAAGTTATGTCATTACCAGTGTCTTACTTCTGTAATTTATCAGATCTCATAACCTCCACTTTTTTTTAACTGCTCAAATTTGGTGTGAATTACAGCTTATTCAGAGATAGATAGTAGATAATAGTAGACAAGTACTCTCTGTTTGCTGGGTTTTCTTCTACTTTAAGCATATAATTATCTGTATTTTTGTTCTGTTTATTATATACAATTATCTCATCTATCTAACTTGTTTTTTACAGAGTAACAACAGCAATGTGCTGATGTTTGCTCACTAACTGTATTTCACTTCTCATTTGTCACTAGTTGTCATCCCCCTGTCTGCTTATTTGTTGCTGACCCTCTGTTTCCTTATGTTTGACTGACAGGTGTGAAAAACAGCTTGGCTGGTGCTATAGTCACAGTTGTTGTCAAGGAAACCAAAAGTCCTGTCCTATTGCCATGGGGAAACAGAACAGCAAGCTGCGACCAGAGATGCTGCAGGACCTCCGAGAGAATACTGAGTTCTCGGACCACGAACTGCAGGAGTGGTACAAGGTACATTTTCACACACACACACACACACACACACACACACACACACACACACACACACACACACACACACACACACACACACACACACACACACACACACACACACACACACACTAGACAAGAAAGGAGTGGTGACAGCATAGTGGTGGTGACGTCTTTCAGGTCATATGACATCATGTCCTGCAATGTGCCTACTGGGCATGTGCATATCAGAAGTGTGACATTCATAGTACATGGATGATATGTGGTTTAACCATAGACTGTATATACTATGGACAACTTGGTTCCGTCTCCCGCCTGTATACGGATTTGAAGCCAAAAAGCTCTCAGTATTTCTGGGATTTTTCTTCATTTCCTGAAACCAGCGCTGCGCAGTAGCGATGCACGCATTTGGCCGCGCAGTCGCCGAGAGTTGCTGTGATGACACTCGGCTCAAACAGCGTATCCCCAGGGAGAGCTACTCAATCCCTGAACACCCATAGGCTGTATCAGGTGTCAATCATAGAAAACATGAACCCCCTAATAACTTTTAAAAACGGAGCTTCACAGAAAAAAGAGGACTTGGGCACAAACCAGTCTTACAATAACTACATGTCAACATCACATGCAGGGGGGAGAAAAAATTATGTTCTGTTCAATAAATTTCCAAAGTTTGTCCACAGCCCCATAAGCTTTGCTGGTGGAGGCGGGATTTATGACCTATACTGCAGCCCATCAACAGAGGGTGCTGTTTTTGGAGTGGCTTCACCCAGCAAGGAGGCAGACTCTGTCCATTCTTTATTTTCAGTATGGGTTTAACCCATACTGAAAATTCTTAGCACTCTGCAATTTCTAGAGCACTAAAGGTTGACTGTTAATTCTGTTTTTACTGTGCAAAGTATGTTTGATACAAAATGAGGCAGACCAATCTAGTGGCCTCAATTTTCCTGCTATGAGTTTGTATTAAAAAAAAAATAGGATATAACTTTTATGCAAATTGACTGTATAGAGTTCAGATTAAGTTGAAAAAAAAAATTTTGAATACAAATGACCAGCAGAAGGCAGTGGTCCAACTTGTCACAAATTAGGCCCATCTGTCCTGCACAGCTATCAATGCTACTATAAGCGAATCTGAACAGTTGTACGGGCAGTTTGCAGTTGTGAAGGAACAGAGGGTGAGATAACTAAGTAATGTCATCCTAAGTAACTTTCCTAATAAGGTCATATATTTACCGAACAGCCATATTACATAATTATTTTCAGGTGTTAGACTGTAATTCGTATTTGCTAGTTTAAGTGGCAGGTCACTCTGGCAGACGATACAGTTAATGACAAGCCATTCATTTTCCTCTTTTCATCCATAAAGGCAGGCAAGCTTAGTACAAGCTGAGTCTGGGGGGGTGAAGAGGGCCACGGCTGAGATACACACAAAGCTGCTGCTTTGACCTGTGTGCGCTTTAGTGATGCTGACTGCTTATTTCCACGTTTTTTAATGACTTTCTTGGTTGTTTGGTCACAAAAAAACGAGGATGTTTTTATGTTTTTATTGGTGCTCACTTAGCATAGCTACATAACATCAAGAGTGAGTGAGTTTAAAATGTTTACAGTGAGAACTAAGTTAACTTGACACTATGCTTGTTAACTTGTTCCATCTCCTGACAGGAGTATAAGGTGCATTTAATGCAGCATGACCAGAATTGACAGGATGGTAAAACCCCTCTTTGAATGACCAGAGAGGGGTATATAAAAGCAGAAGACAGGAAGGCAACTTGCATCCTGTGCACAGGTAGCTAACAGGTTGGTGATAAAACTACAAAGAGCAACTCATCTGCATAGAAATGGCAGATTGCATTGGAGGTGTTTTTAGAGCTGTGAGACTTTAATTCTGGATTTTATTGTGGTTACCCACAAGGGAGCTTCTCAGAAAGTTTTTACCCCTCTAGGGCACTCAAATGAGCCCTCAATGGGCACTTAAACTTTTAATGGGAACACTTATGTAGCATAAACAGGCTTGTGGTTGGTTGGGCAGCACCAAATACAGTTAGAGCAGGAAAAAAAAAAATCTTATGGTAATTCTTCTGTGAGACATTAGAGACATTTTTATGGCACATGTTGGCCTTCTGATAAACTAGATAAGCAGCTTGTGAATAGTTAAGGCTGCACTGGGTCACATTTTTTTCAGACCAGTTAGATTCACCTTTGACTGACTGTCACTGTGTATTATTTTGTTTCAGGTTGTACAGGACTTAATTTGTGAAAGATGTTTTGAAAGACGTAAGCCCCCCTCAATTGCATTGAAACTGATGACAACAGTTTTCTGCAGTCATGTAGATAGACAGAAAAAAGGACCAGTGAAGCTATCTGTTTTTAAAACCACAAGAACTAGTTCAATCAATCCAACATGCTTGTTGTGAAATATCAATAAGATGTAACAGAGCGTATGGACGCAGATGTAAGAAACAACTAGCTGAAACATGTATGCTCTACAAGATTGGTGACAACTATTGACTCATTACCCTGGTAGTAAAAAATAAGTGAATAGATTTTTTATACGAAAAAAAAAAGTTCATTCAGTAGGAGTTAGTTTTTTTTTTACATTCCTCACAATCCTCACTTGGCATGTTGAAGGTTTTATTTTCTTTTTTTCTTTCTTGTTTTCTACAAAGAAAAATAACTTCTCTTTTGAGGTTGTAGCAACCATTCACAATGAAAGTTTGTCTCAGCTTCTGATTACAAATTCAGCATGTTTGTATTCATTGATTTACAATGCAGACATTTATCATAACCCTACCCTAGCCCATTAAAAGAGATCTATTGATGTACCATGAGCAAACACTTGGCAATAGCTGCAAGGAAAAATCACAACCATGAAATCAAGCCAACATGCTGACACCATGAAGACACATGGAGACAGTATGTGGCTGAGTTCATGAATATGAATGAATACATTTTTAGGTCATCAGGAACTGGTTATAGTAGCTTTTTGTGCAGACGTGTTTCAACAGTGTCATATCAAAACCACTAAAAGCAGTCTTAAATGGCACAATGTTTGTCCAAGACTAAAGGAGCACAGCACCACTTGCTCCCATCCGTTCAGTCTGAGAGGTGTTGAAGACATGACCAAGTAATTTATCTTGTTATGTATATATGGGTGTGTTTGTCCAATGGCTATATAGCTTAATACCGGGGCTAGTGCTGTTGAACAGTTACTTCACCCACCTAAAATAAGAATAAGCACAACCACAGAGCCAGCTTTTTTCACCAGTTTGTTAAGACGTCTTGCATCTTTGTGTTTGATGTTTTCTCCCCAGCAGACTGCAGCGTAGAACAGAACACTTGCCACCACAGACTGATAAAACATCTGCAGCATCTTACTACAGATGTCTATTGATCAGAGTCTCTGCCCCTTTTTGTAGATGAAGTCTACAAAAAATTTGATCCAGATAATTCCAACTGTGAAATAATAGAATGAGCATATCATTGTCATTCTGTCATTCTTTTTCATCTATTTTTTTAGGGTTTCTTAAAGGATTGCCCAAGTGGAACCTTGAATGTGGAAGAGTTCAAGAAAATCTATGCCAATTTCTTTCCTTACGGTGATGCATCTAAGTTTGCTGAACATGTCTTCAGAACGTTTGACACCAACGGTGATGGGACAATAGACTTCCGGGAGTTCATCATTGCCTTGAGTGTGACATCACGGGGAAAACTGGAGCAGAAATTGAAATGGGCCTTTAGCATGTATGACCTGGATGGAAATGGATACATAAGCCGGGAGGAGATGCTGGAGATTGTACAGGTAATCACAAGACACTGGGGAATGAAATGAAAGGCTTGGGTGAGCATTTAGACCACAAATAATTATTTTATTTCTAGAAAGATGTGACTGTCATAGTTGTTCGACCTCTGACCGCCGAGCAGTGAAAAGCTTCTTGTAAACAGTGAAGTTATAAACAATCAAGTGCCTTTTTGGTAATTTTTGCTTCTACAAAGGTGGACCAGAAGACAGAGGAACTTAAAAAATCTAAGTTCAGCTAATAAAAATAACAAGAAAAAAGCTAGACTCACCAGGTATGTGGAGGTATATAGGCCAAATAAAACAAGCAATGATGCATGAAATGGATTTTCTTTAGAACAAGTGATACCTAATGACTTAATAGTAAAACAAATATTCTGGTAAAACTACCAATAAACCTCTTAAACCATTGTTATTTTTGAAATATGTAGTTTGTGCATATCTCACTACCCCCAGATAAAGGCTAACCCTTACCAAAAAAGTATACCTCAAGTCCATTTTATGAAGTATACTGAAGTTTATTTTTGTATACTCACCAAAGTGTACTTTAAACACTGGGCATGCAGCACATGGGGGGAACACAGTTTCTGACATGGAGTGTGTGTTAATCGGCTATCTGCACTCTAAATCACGATTAAAATGACATTTTGGTACGCTATTATTTCAATAGTAATACTTATTTGTATACTTGGCTTGTACTGCTTATATTTTTAAGAGTATACTCTTGAAAACATATATGGAAGTATTCACCGACCAAGTTAACTTAAACCTAAGGCACAAATACATACTTAAGTATATCTTAATAAAAAGTTTATGTATAAGTACAGGTTAAATATATTGAGACTTTTAGAATAATTCTTAGTACAAGCCAAGAATATTTAACATGAACTTTTTTAAGTATATCTCTGAAAAGTCCATAAAAAGTCAACTGAAAGATTCTGAGTTTCAAAAGAGTATACCTGAAGTACACTCCAACATACTTCTTTTTGGTAAGGGAAGATTTAGAGAGCGAAATGTCTCCCCAAATACGTCATATACCTGTAATAAAAAAAATGGGTCACTAAGCACAGTGATTTTATTAATTTTGTCATTGCTTTTTTCATTATTTGTCGCCGTTACACTTTGTGGTGAACAGCAAACAAATCACCACTACAGCTGTTTTTTTAATGCTGATTTTAGCCGTGACTAGTGCTACATATGATTTTTTTTTTTTTTTTTTTGTGATGATGACTTTTTAGGTGACTTTTGTTTGATATTGAGGGCTTTTTCCTCCTTTGGAGTACTTGTTAAAGTTTGTAAGTTCCAGTTACATGACCTTCTTGGTGTCTCATGGATGACATATTTTTTTACTCTCTTGACAGCTTGTTGGTGGCCCACTGTGGCAGCACTTGTTCCTTTTCTCTGTTTGAAATGGTGGATCAGATACTGCCATCTACTGTGTTAGAATCTATAGGCCTATTATTAGGGAAATTAAAGCGACTTCTAATCAGTCATTCTCAATGTATTTTATCAGAATTATACATGATATCAAAGTATTCTCTTAGGTATTATTCATCATTCATTCACCCCTACTTTTTATATCCATTTACTTTATACTTAATGCATCTGTCTTCGTAAGTGTGAGGATATTCAATCACCAAAATACAAAGACAAATAGACGAAATATGTTGATGGAAATACATCACTTTCAGGTAGAGTGTAATCCTGTCACACTTGGGGAGCAGAAATAGAGGTCCATATGTCCATATATTAGGATCTGATGTGTGTGTGTGTGTGTGTGTGTGTGTGCTCCTTCTCTCTTCCTTGAACACTGAAATTGGATTTTTACTTTAAAGCCAAAGGATTCAAAAAAAATCTCAAAGCACAGATCTTTTTTTAGCATGCAAGCTACAATTCCCAAAGGCAGAGACCATCAAAGAAGCATTGTGGACACATTTAGAGTTGAGTTTTCAAACTTATTCGAGGTAGACCAGGCCATAGGAAGCCACAAACTTTTTTTTTTTCTGATGTAAATATGCCTTATGCCACCATAGAGGCCTCTTTAGTCTACCAGTTATGGTTATAGCATAATTACATTTGAGAAATAGTGTGGGGGAGAGCATGAAAATAACAGTGTCCCCCACTTACTATGCAAGGAAAAGTGCTTTTTTATACAAAAATTTTCCAACAAGTAAGAGCACGAGACAGTTCTTGACCCAGACAAGAGATGAAACCAACACATAATTTGTCCCAAAGTGTAGTTTACCCTTCACTGATAAACCCCAAAATGTTCAAGCTGCCTAAGACTTAATGAATACAAAAAGTCATGTCATCTTTTCATTATTTGCTGCCTGCCTATGAGCAAATCACCCAAATTAAAGGTTAGTGCCAGGTAAAAGCAAAGCCCATGGATGTTATGACTCTGATCAATCATCAATTTAGAGCATCTCTGTGCTACCTTTCAGTAAATATGTCATCCCGAGATAGACTCATCCATTTACCAAACTGTTTGTTTCGTAAGGCTTTCTATCCTGATGATATGTGTTTTGTGAATCTGGCATGTTGTTGTGCCACAGCCAAATCACTCTGTTGTTGATTATGTAATTGCACAAGGAGTAGCTCTTCATATCTGGACAAACAGAGGCCATTTAATGTGACATTCAGAAAGTGTGTTAACATTATCTTGAAAAACAGCTTTATTCTCTGTTTTGTTTTGTCCCAGTCCTCTCCTGTCGAGTCTCAGTAATTGGTCTTTGTTGGCTTGAATTTACTTTTCTTCTCCCAGCCCCATAATTTCCATTATCTCTCCCTGGCTTTCTCCCCTCTGTCTATCAGGCCATCTACAAGATGGTGTCATCTGTGATGAAGATGCCTGAGGATGAGTCCACACCAGAGAAGAGGACGGATAAAATCTTCAGACAAATGGATCTTAATAACGATGGTGAGGGGAGGAAATGGCAACATACAGGGATGAGTTTGCTGTAGACAGGGAGCAGGATGGGGTGGATCGATTGGGGATGAGTATTGCAGTTTATTGCAGATATTCATATGTTCTCACTTTACTTGAAACTGGAGATCTTTGAAAGTATTTCAGGCTCCATATATAACCATATTGATTCCACTTTTTGATTTAGAAAGCACGCTTTTCTGTCTACAGATTAGTTTCCAACATAAAATTGAAAAATATATTTTTACTGTGGGCATGAAGATTTCAACCTTGGAGATAATTGAAGTGTATCATGAGTGTCGTAAATGTCAGTTTTACATCATAATCCATAGCTTACCGTAAACATTATAAGCATACATCAATGCCATACCTAAAAAATAACTCAAAGTTGACTTGAGAAAATCACTCTGACCCATACCTTTAAAGAATTGCGGTAGCCTTTGCAGTATTTTGCCTGCTTGCAGTATTTTCAGTTCACCAACAGGTGGCATGATGTCAGCATTATTGGTTAAAAAGACAGTGGCACTTGAGACTCTGCAGCTCCATAGTGAAGATGCAAGGAAAGAACACGAAATTCAGTCCACAGAGTAACCTCTTGTTTTTTTTTTTACTTAATTGTTCGCATGCTGGTTTTACTGCCAAAGCAAGCTACCCGAAGCCCTCGGTGAAATATATTGAGGGTAGCTGGAGGATTGTGGTTTGGTTTTATTTTAGTGGTCATAGTTAACTACTTTGCACACTACCATCAGCTCTGAAAAGCTTTGGTTTACCCTGCAGCCCAAATAAATATCAGAGAAGCTTGGCTTCCAACAAACACAGAAGGAGTGTGACTTAATGCTCACTTTTGTCCCCCATAACTCTTCACACGGCAACAGCACAACACAACATCATTAACATTTGCAAACTACTTAGAAGACACAAAACGGAGAACAAAACTCCAGTTCTGTTGGATAGCCTGTCTTTGATCTGTGTCACAAGCTAGTGCAGCAGACCCTCACAAACCAGTTATCAAACTCCTGATAATAGCAGAGGAACTGTTACTAACTAAAGTATCGGAGTGTTTGAGAATTAGAAACAGATTTATAGGACAAGTATGTATGCGTATAAAAGGGATTTGAGTCTAGTTAACTAAACTATCAAATGCTGAACATGAATAAAAACATTATACATGCAATATTAACTATTATGTTCAAGCCTTTTTACATTTAACATTTAATCATCACACACAGAGCTACATCAAACATCAAAGTATTACATACAAATGTGTGAAGAGCAGTAGTGCAATGGTGAGTAGGGCAAATGATGCTGCAATAATCATGATAATAAATATTACTTATTTAACAGATTCTCGTGTGCCTAAGGTAGACAGTTTTTCCAGTATCTATAACTAAAACAGTGTGCGTAAGTGCAAGTCAGATTCTGTGATTCTTCTGAACTAGACAGTTCTTGCTGGTTAAAGTCTGTCATCACTTCGTTTTTAAAGTAACTTTTTTTTTTTTAACATGAAGGCTTAATCTGTTTACTCGCTTAATTAAAGGCCTTGAACTCTGGCTGAATAGTTAAGCTCAGGAAACACAGAAGCTGAAGAAATATAGGATTAATGATGAGGACCAGCCCCAATTCTACAAGAGTGCTGAGAAAATTGATGATGAAAACAAAATTTGAAAATCATCTGAAGCTTATATTTGTCAGAAAATATTCCACCTACAGCTCATTTAATGTTAAAAATTTATTATTTTATGAAAAGTGTGTTTATTTTAAATGTGATACCACCAACATGTTTCAAAAGTAACTCAAGTAAGTAATCACCTTTTTAAAAGTAATTGCCTTTTTGTAATTACTTCTTCTTTAGCAACACTGTTAATGTTCAGTAACCAAGGAGACCATTTCCTGGGTCATGAAATTGAATTTTTTCCTTCTTGCCTTAAATGTTTACAAGACATGACAAGTTTGGGCTACACCTGGACTTTTTTACTATGGAGCCATGCCATTCTAATACATGCTAAATACAATTTGGCAGCTTCTTGCTTATGATGCAAAATCTTTCCTGTAAAAGGTTTTATCTGGATGGCAGCAGATGCATGGGCTGGAGCGTCCATTATTTCCAAAAAGAAGGTTTTGATTTCATTTGTGAAACCTTAATAAAGTTTTCCACTTGACATGAACGTCATTGCCATCTCGTTTCAGTTATTAGCCTTTGCCCTTTTAGGCAGTCTTTTCATAAAATTTTGTGCTGCAGTTGATGAAATCCCTAAATTCTTGGCAACCATTTCCTCACCCATTCCTGGAAAGAGTAGTAAACCTCTTCCCATGTTTACTTTTGAGAGACTCAGGTTTCTCTGGATCAGGATGATCTTTTTAATTTTTTTTTTTTTTTTGTAGGAGATGTTTCTGTAGGTGTTTTTTTTTTTTTTAGCATTACACAATTTTTCACTGTTTAGTTTTCCCTGTCCCAATTGTTTTGAATCATAATGCTGGCATCACATTTAAGATGAGTATATATTTTTCATAAAACAAGAACATTTTTCAGTTTCAGCATTGAATTTGTTGTATTTGCACTTTTCAATTTAACATGGGATTTAAATGACCTGCAAACCATCAGATTTTGTCTGATCTTAACAGCCTTGTAGTATGTAATAGTTTAGTCTCTACCTCTACTTTAAAAACTAGTTAACTTCATTCAGATTTTGCAGGCTACATGTACCATGTAAAGCCCATATTTGCATGGCACATAATGTTTGTCTTACTATTCTCTTTTTCTGTTATCACACAGGTAAATTGTCCCTGGAGGAATTTATCAAAGGTGCCAAAAGCGACCCCTCCATTGTCAGGCTACTTCAGTGTGACCCGAGCTCTGCTTCCCAGTTCTGAATGGCCCTTAAACCCCTAGCCCTTCAACACCCTTTCTTCCTCACTCACTGTTTCACTTGCTAATGAAACAGTCACTCAAGTCAGTGCATGATGGTTCTTGTCTATCATATCATCTTTTCTGTTTCTACTGTGTGGTATAAGGGATGAAGAAATACAAAGTGGCTTAGAAAAGTCATCTCTATCATTTCACTTTTTATTTTTGTATGTAGAAATAATTGAAGAGATGCATAGGTACATGCATAGGTTTAAAGTAGAGTAGTGGAGTCTACTAATGTTCCTCAATATCTGGGCTCTTCCTGGAACATGGGATTTCTGGGAGTTTGTGACAATAAGGTTTTTTTGCAGAGTGGATCGTCCATTTTGACCTCTAACACATGTATAACATGTAAATACTGTATGTCTATGTATATCATGAGAAGAAATACATTTGTCTTCATGTATGATGCACTCTCTATGGCATTGAAAGGCAGTATTATGTAGCGTAGCTTCCTGGCCTGATCTGAGTCAGTGGGCAGGGCACAGATAGGTGGAAGAGGGGTATTATTGGGATTTTACTGCTGTATGATCTTTCGCTGAGAAAAAGAGGGCCTAAGATCCCATTTGGTTTTATTATTATACAGAAAATTCTTCAGTTATTTAATTTAAAGTATTCCTTTATCTTTGTACATATTGTTTTCCTCCATAATGTTGCTTTATTTATTGATTTTTATTCTCATTGATGTCCTTTAACTTTGATATGTTGTCAAAAATTACCATGTTCCAGTTTACAGTGACAGAGAAAGAGAGAATGTGAGTTAAGATTAATGTCTTTTGGGATTTGTTGATTTGTTACGGTGTAAGATTGTAAAATAAGGGTATCCCATAATGCTTATGATCAATGACACTAGTAGCACATATCCTTGAGCCACCGTGTGTTTATAAAGTACGGCTGTGCATCTGGTATGTGTGAGTGTATAGTATGTGCATGTGAAAATGCACTGTGTGCTTGAAGCTAACTTTTACAGTATTATCATGTTGTGTTGTTTCTTAATTTTGAAGTATTTTAAAGTTCATGAACAATGAGCAGTAATTAAGATAGTTGTAACCTGTTACTATACTGCATGATCCTATAAACCAAAAGATTTCAAAACTGAAAAAAACAACAATAGCAAGAACAACACACATAACACACAACTGTATCTTTTTGTAGCTCGGCAGCCACCTCAACACTACTGAGCAGAACTTATTTAATAGTTGTTGTGCTTTGGGGTAACCCTACCCTCCACTCTGTTTTCCTCTAACAGACAGGGAACTTACTAAGGGCTTGTTCATCACTTTCCAGCTGATTGCTTTAAAAATCTCTTGAATTAGTCTGCCTACAGAGCAGTTAGGTGAAGGGACATGCTTTAAATGGAGAGGAGTGTTTGGACTTACATGTTCTAAAATGATCTTTTTAGGATTCCCAGATGCAATGTGTAGCTAACTTACAGAAATTGTTGGCCGTGTTTGGCTGTAATTGGCACCAATAACTGATATTTTGGATAGCACCAAGAAAGTAATACACTCAAAAGCAAATATGAAATTATTTTTTCTACTTTTAAAGAAATACAATAAAAACAAATTACTGCAGAGAATAAAAGCCTAAAATACCGTGCACCTGTAGGCAGACTCTGGCTATAGCAGCAATCTTACAGTGCCCATCAACATCTGAGGCCTCTATTATCAGATCACTCTTGTCATTTTGTGTTTTGAAAGTAAAACTATAGACATATTATGTTGGTAAGGGGTTAAAGCATCAACAGTGGATATTTCATATTCTTCTGCTCTTGTTTTTCTTTCCACTTGCTAGAACTTAAAGACATTAAAAAAAAAAGGACTGATTTATGTTTTATAAAGCATGGTATACAATAACCTGACTGATGTTGTGTTTAAATTGAAATTAGCTTTAATTGCTCTGAAATTATATGGATAATGCTCCAATGCTATAGTTATTATCTTAAAATGAACCATCTGACAGGGTTCATTCATCAGTAAGAGAGAGTATGCTCCACGTACAGTAGATCTGAATTTTTTTACTGAAGTAAAAAAAATGAAGTAATCAATTCCTTTATGGAGCCTTTTTATATTCCATATTTTGAATATTTCCTCAGCCACAGTTAGTTACTAAACTGATGATCAAAATTGTGTAATTTGATCATTTTCGTGGACTTGGCCTTCCCCTCTTTAAAAAGATTCAGTATGAAATAAAAATTTCACAACATAAGAAAATGTTTTGAAATTCTTCACTGAATCCAGGCTAAGGTACTGTAGTTGTTACAGATGGGTTAGCAGCTCGATGTTGTTGATCTTGACCAAAAAAATAAACAAAAAAACTTTAGGTTAGAGAGAAAACAAACATTCTAGCATTTTAATCACACTCGGAAGATTTCCATCCTGGCCATACAGCATTAAAAGAGAAGTTTTTCTCTGTCTAGTCATTGAGTAACTCCTGTTGTGCCAGATACACCTATAAAAATACCCTACAAAATTAGCCATAATCAGCCAAGAATTTCACAACTCCACAGTTGTGTGCAGTTGTACATTGAATGAGGGCCTAAGAGGAGTGCTGGAGTAGCAGCATGCACTTACATCAGGACTGAGCTGGGATCAGCTTTTACCAAACCTTTGCACAGGAGCTTCCTGACCAGCCACACCTCTGCTTTGGGGATCCTGTAGTGTCACTGCCTTCTGCTGGTAGAATAAGGAACAACAATTGCTTAACCCTTACCCATAACCCTTTTCTATCTTCACTGCCTCTGATGAACTGGTACCTTGTGTTGCAGAATCACAACCTGTTCTTTTTTTCTTCCTTCTTTCCTTGCCTCACTTTTCTTCCTATTTCTGTTGCATGAAAACCTCATGTGAGGATGTCATGATTGTTTTGTTGGAATCAAAGCAAAATATACTTCTGTGTTTCAAAACGGCTCTTGTGCACAGTTTCATTTTTTATTGTTAATTAAGAATACATGAAGTAATAGAGCATTTCAAGGTTTGAAGTTGCTTGTGCTAAACAGAGTATGTCAACATGTGTGTCTGCAACCAGTCAGACCTGTCAGGTCACTGCTGACATGACTGCATATTGTAACTAGAAAATTCCCTCTGAGAAATTTTATCAAGGGCCACAGGGTCTACTGTCAGGGTGGGTACATCATGATGAGACTCTTCAGAGATTTCAAATAATTAATACCAGTAGCATTGTGATATTATATACAAGGAGCACACCTACAGCAAGTATTACTTTTTCAAGTATTCATTTATACAAAAAAAAAAACAAAAAAAAAACGAGCCGGAGAGAAGATGATTGAAAAACTTCAATAACTGCTCCTTAATTTTTGGCTTGTCCCATGGGCCTAAATACAAAATTTTACAGAGGTTTATCGTACTTACATCATGAAAAATTCATATACAACAGAGAAAGGTGACAGCACACTGATCCTGATCAAATCACATGTTTTGATATATAATTTGTCCTACAACTCTTTAAGCTGTAGGACTAGTAGGTAATTGAAATTTGTCCTGAAGAGAAATAAGAAAAAAGCCCACAGTAGAACAATAGTGCCTCAGGGCTTCATCTCCAAACTGTAAAGTTTATAGCATCTCTATTGTGTAGGGGCCTGCGCCTCGGTGCATCTCCCTGTGGCCCTCATAAGGATCATTTTGATTGAGAGTCAGCATTTTATTGTTAATGGCCTGAGGCTCACAGGTTGCCACGGCAACTTAAGCTGGTTGCCCATGTTGAAACATCCAGAAAAAGAGCAATTTTTTCCCTCTGTGTCGGTCTCACATTCTGACAAATCAGTAGCTCCTTTCAGAAATATAAGCAGACTGTGGTCATCATAAGGACTTTCTGAATGCTTTGATATGATTTTGGTGTTTCTACAGTAAGTAGACTGGACAAACTTGCACATTATAGAGAGGAGTCCCTTCTGCTTCTCTCTGACGAAATCTTTGTATTAGTGTCATTGAGGAGCAGAGGGAGACATTACGGCACTAAGAGGCTCAGTATTTAAAATCTGTCAGTCTGTCTTCTCAGTTGAACACATTGTTAGAAACAGAACAAATGTGTCGACGACTGTGGAAAAAACATGAGTGTAGAGTGTTATTTCTGGCCAGAAGGAGCGTGGAAAGAGTCAAGTTTCAGACAATTTTATGCAACTTCTCTCTCTCTGGCCAATGATGTCACCCACTCTATCACGAAGATTCCACACAATACACACCCATTATAATCTCAAGATTTATCCAAAAGTGATCATGGTCATTGCACAGTACATGTACAATACCTACCAAAAGTGGATTAACACACCGATAGACAAGACTTGTGTCTACATTTTAAAGTTTAAATGGAGTCTGTAGGTGAAAGTATGCCGAGCTGGTAGATGTTTAAAAAACTTCAATAACTGCTCCTTTTTTTTTTTACTTATGCTATTGACCTCAACGCAAAAAGTTTTTTCACAAAAAAATTTACATTAAAAAAAAAAGATAAAAGTAACAGCACACCAGTCCTGATCAAACCACGTTTTGATCTATAATTTGTCCTCAATCTCGTCAAGCTGTAGTACGTAGGGAATCGAAACCACATCAGAAAAATCCTCTGTATAACAATAATGCCTCTGTGCATTTGTCTCAGCAGTTTAATGACTAAAAACTTCATTTAAAAAATGAATACAAAACTTGCAGCAGTAGTTTGTCAAGAAGCCGTCACTTGACGTCAAAAGAATGTGAACATATTTGCTTGTTAATGTCTCACATGGGCAACAAAAGGCAGAGGATCAAGACTCTGCAAGAAAATTACATTTAAAAGTACTCCCACATTCATTCTATGAACTATTTTGTTCTACACTAGAGTATCTTGGTTTACTTCTTGAGGTTTTGCCTTTATTATATCTATAAAGTGAATATAAAAGGTCAAAAATATGGAGTAGAAGCTTTTATGCTTCCTCCCTTGTTAACCTGTGTCTTTGGCTAAAATACAGAGCTTCAGCCAGATGGTCAACTTTACCTCTCATCATTACCTCTCATAAAGACATCAGGACTGTTTGACCTTCACAAGTGCAAAAATACAAGACAATACACACTCACATGACAGGGATCCTATACACTGTGCAAATGAACTAAGACTCTGAAACTTCACACTGTCAGACAGTTTCCCAGGCTATTGCACATCTTAATAAGTTGTCTCCAGCTTTGAGTTCATACTTTAAAGGTGCTGACTTAAAATCACGGTTGTGCTATGGTGTTCAAGTCTAATAGCTGCAGCTAAAACCACAGTACCATTTAGTCTTTCAGAAACCTGGAATACTAGAAACAGCTAAATCCAGAAGCTGGACCTTTCTAGTGTACCCCTTTCCAGCAGCTGGTGTTGCTCTGGTGTGCTGTGCTGCTTGTGAGGAGGCTTCCTCTCTGATGGGGAGAGACTCTGATGATGACGGGGAGGATGCTGGGGAGGCTGAGGTGGTCTTTGCTTCCGTCTTGGAGGTGCAGTACTCCGCCTTGGAGATTCAGGATATTGTCCTAGGGGTTTAGTATAGCGAATTGGAGGTTCATTGTAGCTTCTCGGAGGTTCAGTATAGTGAGAGAGGGGAGCTTCTTCCATTGGCCTTACTACATTGATCTGCTAAACAGACATGATATCCAATGGTTATTTTTATCCGGCTTCATTAGAATTACATTATTCATCAAGGATCAGCTAAATCAAGATTTCTTACCGCTCTGCCATAGTCTCCAGTTTTTTTCCTTTTGCAAAGACCCAAAAATGAAAGACAAGCAGCAAAGGAGCGGGCTGAAAACACCATTTGGATTACACAAGTCACGATCAGAGGCACCCATAGGATCAGAGTGGTACCCTAGGGAGGGATAGAGGAGAGGCATTAGTGGCAACCACCAGCTGCACTATAAACAATACAATTTGAGGTTACAAGCAGCTTTATCTAAAGAGGCTAATGATGTGATAAAGAACCTTGATTTTCTCAACTGACTATAGCGTGCTGCAACAACACTGCAGTGGGTTTGGGAATTTCAGTCAGCATAGAAGAGTCAGTACTGTGAATAAAACATGCAGAACAGACAGTATTAAAGGAAGAGTGCACAAAGGAAGATAAAAAAGGAGCTGCCTTTGGTCAGGCATGCTGCTAAAAGAATGACATTTTTAGTTTGAGATTTTGATCTTTCTTGACTCTTAATGATTAAACCTGAAAGAAGCACAAACAATAAAAAATGCACTTTCTGATAACTATGAATTTTAGAAACACAAAGTCCAAGTTGGTCTTCTCAAGCAGTGGTCGCACCCTCCACCAGCCATACTGCAGGTCCCTTGTAAACAGGCACTTTTTAGTGAAAGGAACGGTTTGCAGTCTCAGTAAATTGAAACAAGTTATATAACTGTATAATAAGTTGGAACCACGTTTCAGACTAAATAATATGTTATGACTTCTTTTTTGAGGTTTGTTTATTTCATTATTAACCTCAAAACAATCAATTACATGATACAATAACAATATCCGAGCATGACAGAGGAGTTTTAGGACTCAAAGTCAAAGGCTCTTGTTGTTGGATGTTATGGATGAGTATGTATATGTAATGTGTTGGCATTCACAGAGTATTTAAAAGGCAACACCTAAGAAATACAGAAAATGTTGAGTTCCAACAGACTTGTCAAGACAGGCTAGAATCTCTTATTTAAGTCCTGAAAAAAAGCATTACACAGTTATGATCCACTTGTTACCATTTATCACCTCAGTCTCACTTTTACACGTAATTTAGGAGTTAAGACAATATTTTAGCATACAAACCATATTATGTTTACCCATATTACATATATAGGTTTTTCCAGGTTATTCCAGGTTTTCCAAGTTTTCCAGGTTAAGATAAGATAAGAATTAAATTGATCCCTAAAGGGAAGTTCACTGCATTAGTTTGACTTACCCTGTCATCTGATGATCCACCTTTTATTCTAGCGGGTAATTATGTTTTAAAGGAATCACTGCTGAAGCTGTGAGATCAGGACCACAATAGTATTTAAAAATGATAATCGCATTTGTCACCCTATTACTTTGATCTTCAGATTAATCACTGATGTAACATGCACACATTATTAATCAAGCATAGAAAATCACCAAATGGTAGGTAGGCTGAACCTACACAGTACTTTTTTTGCCAGCAAAAGGTTTTAATCAATGTTTTGACTGCAGAGAAATAAACAATCTCATTCACACAAAGTCACACACCAGAGGCATGGCATCAGGAGCAATAAACAGTTCAGCACCTGGCTAAGTACTCTAGAAGGAAGGCTTGATATTGTACTATTTTTATCACAAATTAAAGATGATGCATCTCTAAGGAACCTGAAACAATGAATTTCAGCACTGTTTCAGTTAGTGACTGCCAAGATCTGATTTCTGATTCACAGCACTGGATTAAGTGTTGAATGAGTTACATGATACTAAGTGTAAGTGAGGTGAACTGCAGCGAACAACATTAATCTTCAGAAAATAATCGGTGTCTGTGCCCTCATGTTAGTATCTTTATCACACACTTAAACACTCACATAGATGCGTGTTGGGTCAAAGGGACACTCGTTGGTGATACTGGAGTAGCCAATGGCATCAGGGAAGCGGCAGTGAGTCAGGAGGCTCCTCCCACCGTGAATAATGGCCCTCACCACAGACACAAAGAGTCCGATGGCTGATGCTGCTGCCATTAGAGCTGCAGCCAAACTGACTGCAAAAAGTGACCACATCTGTCAACAAAGCAGAAGAAAGTACAAGAAAACACTCAGAGATCAAAAAAGCCATGGCTGATTGGTAGAAGCCTTCAATGTTCCCAGTTTAGAAACTGGGTCATCAGCATTAGAAAGTTGATATCTGACAGCAAAAATACAAAAGGTTTATAAATAGAGGCAAAGCAAACACAACAGACCAAATGAAAAGATTCAAGATGTGTACTTCGAGCTCAAAAACTGAAAAACTGTTCATTTAAAAATGTTTTCAACCAATATAAAATCTCAGAACTGACACAGCATGTTTCTGGACATAGACAGGCGGGGTTGTGAGCAAGCTTCAGAGTTTTATAAATGACTATCAGTCTACTTGTTATCAGGTAATACTCTCAGGAAAACAATATAGCAATGTCTGCTATGCCTGCTGTCTCTACTGTCTTGAAAATTACACTAATAATGTCATGTTTTCAAGTCTGTACACATGTCAAAGCTTACAGCACCATAGAAATAGGTTACAGTAAGGTTTAAAAAAAGGGTAAGGCTGACTTTATCACCCACTGTTTCTTACTGTTATCAAGTATTGGCAGTCTTTTCAAACACAAACAAACAAAACAAAACAAAAAACACCAATTACTAACATTTGGAGAATTCTTCTCTTGGTTGATCTTTCAACATCTACATGGGTCTTCAATGCTTTATGCTAACAGCTTTTTTTGACTCTATTTTGTATTGAATAGACCACTGTAGTAATGAATCACATAAATCATTTGTACATTTATTGATACTGAAAATAATCCCTCAATGAAGCGCTGCTAATCCTATTTGCAACAACCGTCTCTGTATTTATTGCCTGACCTATGTTGTGTTTTAGAGCTTTACTGTTGTCCAAAAAACGTTTTCAGCGTATCAGTCAGCCACACCATTGCACTAGCTGACAAGTTCATTCACCTCAGTGAATGCCCACTGTACTTTAGTTCTTACCTAAATCCTCATGCACTGTCATGCTGGTTTAACCACCCACGCATGTAATGTATCCCAATCCACCATTCACAACAGCCTCAGACAAACTAATTTACCTCCTTTTTGATTGTCAAGATGTTTCAGGACTTAGCTAACATTAAAAAAAAAAACTAAGCCAAAGCTTGCCCTGGGTGTGATGAGTGTACTGTTTTGATTCAATGTGTGATTGAGTGAAGAAGGCTAGTCACACAAGGATGCTAGAGAGTGATAGCTGCATTGATCAGGAATGCCAACAATGTGTCACGATGTTTGTTGGTGCATTTGGGAAGATTTTTGTTTTTTGGAAAAACATTTTCAATTGTGAACTTATTCTGGCTGTTTTTCTACCGACCCGACAACGCTCCAAACAAACGGGCTTAATGTCGACATGACAGGGATGTCCAGGTATTAAAGGATGGAAAAAAATGATAGTGATTTTGTTGTCTGAAGCCATATGTGAAAAATAAGGGACTAATAACTTCAGATATATACAAACTCCCAGTAAGAAGCTTCAGTATTATAAACTAATGCTAACAACTATATACAGCAGCTATAAACATGTCACTTGCAGAAATACTAGTCAACCCCTCGGTAAGTGAATCTGTAGGAGGCTAAACAGATAGAATTTCTCTTTCTGAAATTTGCGAGTAAACAAGAAGCTAGTCCGGACTTTATATTTGATAAAGGACTGAAAAGAAGAATTGACCATAAACATTACATATTATCTATCTTTTGCGATGCCAAGAAGACTGCAAAGGTAAACAGATAAATAAATAGTGAAACTACTGGTTGCAACAGCTGCTCTCACTGACTACAGAGGAATAGGAGTGGTAGGGCCCAGTGGCTTTGACTAGGCTTACTCATAATGTGCGCTAACCGCCTTGTCAGTCCTGTCTGAGCGGCCTGACAGCTGATTGAGTAAACAGAGATGAGTGAAAGGAGAGTGCAAAAAAAAAAAAAAAAAACTAGCATTGCAGAACCACATTCATCTGGGGAAAAACTGAGAAGTTTAAAGGGGCAATTTTCCTGCGAGACAACAGAAACAATGCTGATAACTATCTGTGAAGAAATTGCGAAATATATAAGAGAAGAAGTTTGAGCACAGGTAGAAGGATCAGAAGAGGACACAAGTTCATCTTTAAAGTGATGAGCAAAGTAGATGTCTGTGCATACATCTTTGTTCTTCTTTTGAAATGATTCAGTACTTTCCAAAGTTATAGCAAATATAATAATTCCCCAGAAACAAAAGCAATACAAACCAAGCCTCTACTTCTCTTGTTTTTGGACAGGATAATAGCCAGAATACCAGCAACAACTCCCTGCATAGAGAGAAAAGAAGAGACAAAAAAAGGTTGTGTTTAAGGAATATTTATGTTCTTCCTCAAAAACCCTTATCAATTACTAGTTTCATACATAACCAAAATATGAAAAAGGCCCTTGTCATCATCATCATCATCGTTATGATCTGTTTAGTCAGAGACAACACGTCTAGTTTGAACCAAGTTCAAAGTCTTGTCAAGTTAAAGCCACTAAGAAAACAGTCAAATGAACGATGCAGTGAAAGGTCAGAAGTTTTTTTTTCCCTCAGCACCACAGCCATGCTGTCACAACAAGCATTTTAAATATGCCTTTAAATGTGTTGTTTGCTTTTAAGTGTGCTTTTTAAAAAAGCTTTAAAAAAGAATGATGACAGAATGGCCCTCTGACTTCGCAGCACCGTAGAATTAGTTTAACTTGTCAATACATATTGGGGGGAGGTGGGGAAATTAATACTTTAGACAATACTTTTGTAGCTCTTTCCTACTTGGCAATCATACTCACAGAAAGTATGATATAAAGTGCCAGACTTAATTGTGATTTGTGTTTTTAAGCAAAAACAATTGGTTAGGCTTGCTGTGTAAGGAAATTACTTTCCAATATTATAGCACATTTTGGAAAGTACTCAATTTGTTTTTTTACAAAAAGCTTGAAAGAAAAAAAACCCCCACACCATTACCCCTTTGTTATAAAAGTATTTGTGTTGAGTCTTTCTATAATGCCTTAAAATATGTTGAGGCTCTCTTCAGATATCTGCATTTACAGCTTGTGGTTCAACCCTGATCTGTTTACTGGTTTGTATCTTTAATCTGGAAAAAGCCCTTGAAATACAAGTGCTGTTCCACTATGGTTTGGTTCTTGCTTGTTTTGTTGCCTGTGCCTCCCTCTTATTAACAGAGATCATTTCATAAAATCACAACCTGATAATGTGAAACTTCTGTGGAATATCAATCTCATATAGTTATGCATGCACTCACCACAAGCCCTGAAGTGAGAGCAAACACATTTGAGATAGCATATTCCATAGCTCGGGCCTGCTTGTGAAGGTTGATGTGTCTGAGCACCACCCCATGCACCAGTGCTCCCAACAGGAAGTTAACATGACCAATGAGGACCATGCTCAAGCCCATCTTCATCAAGGCCTTTGGATCCTCCAGGCTAGCAAGGCATATTCCTGCAAAGGAAGAATTAAAAGAGGGACAACTTTATTCTCCAAGAAAAAAAATAATCACAATAACCATGGCAGTGATTTAACATGTGATATTCGTCAGTGTTGCCCATGATGTATTGATCAAAGACACGTGGCCCAGGTCAAAGCCGCAGCAGAATGTTCCATATCAATCATTAGCTGTTAAACACATAACTACAGTGCTGGTTATTTGGACTGCAGATGCACATTTCAGCAACAAGGCCATTCAAAGTGCCCCACACACCGACCGAGACACCAACCTGCAGAGGTGACAATCTGCATTTCAAATATCATTTCAACTATCCAAACATAGACTTAAGCCATAAGGGAAAAGGCGTGTAAGTTCAAGAATTATCATCATTGATTTATTTTAAACACATACGAATGTAATACCAGTCATAATCACAAAGATACGGCTAATACTGTTCAGAAACCATGCTCGTTTCTTCAGTTTATTTTTAAGGAGTGCCACCACTACCACACCCAAGGACTGGAAAAGTTCAAAAGAAATTCATGGGTGTCATTCAGAACATTTCAAAGTAACTTGATGGAGGTTAGCCTACCCGTCTTTGCCATCTCTGTTAGGTCACCATTCGTTCTATTGGACGGCGAATTTGGTGAAGTGAGTTCAGCAGCGTGATACCATTTCTCATCAAGCAACGCACACACAACCACACTCATAGAGTCCTCTGCTTAGAATTTCAAAATAAATCCCTATTTTATTGTACACTCAGACGTACGACAATTTATCTTCACAAACATATAACAAATAGTGAAGAATGTGCATTTTTTTAATAATATGATACTTGACGTTTTTCATTTTGCAAAATTATCTTCACTTATCAGCTACAAAAATGTTGTGCTTTTATTTTGACACCGCGGCTAATGAATCACAAGGCAAGGTGCCCTGGAGGACTTCAGCGCAGGTGCACAATATCGCCTATCGTAAGTGGTGAAAACAGCGTAAGAATTGAAAAGGTGTTTTACAGGGATATATTGACATGGAAATGTTCCCAAATAACTACAGATCAAAAAATATCAAATTGCATTTTTAGGTTATTGTATACCTTAAGTCTTATTATCGCAGATCGAAGAGCTCTTTGGCATGTTAAGGGTCCTGAGATTATCTCAAAATTAGATACTGTTGATTGCAATTTTTATTTTCTTACCTTTATCTTTGTTTATCTAGTTTTTTTTTTTTATTTCATTGATGCTTCTATGTATGCAGATATCAAACAATTTGTAGTTTTTCATGATTAGTTTTGTTTTTATTTAGTAGACAATAATACCCAAATTTCACAGGTCAGCCTATGGGCTATATGCTCATATGCATTAGAGGAGAAGACTTGTACTTTATCGATTCATGCATTGTTTTAATGAAGTGCATCAGAACATTTTAAATGCCAATTCCTTTGACAAAACTAACATGTTGCTTAAGTATGAGGGTAAAGAGAGGTATTTGAGTGAAAAAAAGGCTTCTCCCTGTTCAAAATAACTATGTAAAAGTATAACAAATGTTACACTCTGAAAATGCTTTTAAGCTTATAATAAAGAGACATGCCATTTAACCTTTACTGCCCTTTTCTGTAGGCTTTCTGCCCTTCAGATCACAATATAAAGGCCTTTGGTGCCACCAGGTGGAGAAATGGCACCATAAATTAGGAGAAAACACAGCTGCAGTGGAATAGTCCTTTCCGCTTAAAGAATCTACACTGAAGCAACGCTAAGAACTGCTTGTTTCTCTGAATTTCTAAAAAAAAAAGTAATTCTTAAAAAATACCTAGTTATGGACAACAACTTTTTGGAGGATGATCCTTAAAGTTACAGATATTGAACATTGCAGCACACACAACTCTTTTCCTAACCATTAAGTGGAACTGGTCTTCCAAGCTGGTTAGGATATGTGATATGTGCACTAAATAAGAAGAAAAACTAATGTCACTCTGGACCCCCCTGAGAAGTTCTAAGCAATGTTGATGAAGAGAACCATAACTTGGTCTTAAGGAGAGCCTCAACAGGTAAAGCCCACAACTAACCACCATTCTTTTGTCCTTTTTGGGCAAACCTGTGCTCTCCCAATGCTTGACTTGGTATGAACATTCCATTTAGTGCACAACCATGAGGGAAAGGCAGATGACAAAAGGGTTACAGTGAGGTAGATAATAAAGTGGAAATTTGTGCAACCTGACTGGTGAATTTAGCAGTTGATGTGTCCATGGTTATCACTAAGGTTGGTGGTACCATGGAGACTAACACAGATATGTCCATAGCCAGTGGAGAACTTGTTTATTCTGCCAATAAAATATGCCCAGTAACTTCTAAATTCAGTTGCAGCTTTACTTGTGAGTCAGGAGTTTCAGTTTAGGAGCTTGACTGAGAGACGTTGTAGTTAAGCTGTCAGAGAAACTCAGGTTTGGAAGGAAATGGTTTATCATGAAGAAAATTGTAACATCAAGAGCCTGCGGTTAGCTTAAACTTGATAGAATTTAAAGAACATCTCTTTTGTCTAGATCAGATAGTCTACCTCTTCCTTTTTGATATAAAAAGACCTAAAATTTCTATGCTTAAACCCTAGAAAACAAGCCTCTCAATGAGTGAGCAATAGACAATGCCCTATCTGTCGACAGACATGAAAGGTACTAACTAATCCTCTTCTGTTTCTGTTACCCCAAGTAATTATGAGTCTCAGCACTGGCATCATTTAGAAGCATGGACATTTGTAGCACCAACTAGAACTGAACCTTCAACCAACCTCGTCAATGTCTATTAAAGATTATATTCATCCAACTTATGTCTTCCACACTAATGGCTGTGGCTCTCTAAACTTGTTCGACATGGTGGCCTTTTTTAAAATTGGTAATAGAAGCAAAAATCTAAGAGGATGGCTTAACACAAATGGGGTTTAAAAGGCCATGTGTTTTATTGTGGAGTGTGATTTATAGGGAAATCAATAAGGGAAAAATAAGATACAATGAAAAGTACAAGTCACTAGACCTAAAATTTGAAATGCACTTGTTGGAAGACAAAGACAGTGCTTGTTGTGGTTAAAAGATATTTGTACTGATAGTTTTCTTGTACAATATGATAATTAAGGACCATACTTATTATGGATAACAGTCTCATTTTGTTCTCGGAGGCCACTTTTGCTTCAACAATGGTAAAGGTGAGCAGAGTAGTATTTCGGTCTAGAATCTAACTGCTTTTATTGATCTAATATTTCCACTTTTACACACTGTACTTTTGAGTAAAAACACCCATCTTTATTAGCATCCTGACAAGTTTTAATGTACATACAAGATATAAATTAATCAAAAATGATATATATATTTTTTTTAGATGTGGAACCAATGACACAAGACATCCAACAACTATCTGAAACTCCACAGCATTGGTTTTACATGATATAGCATTGTACAAAACCCAATTCCATTGAAGTTGGGAAATTGTGATTAACGTAAATAAAAACAGAATACAATGATTTGCAAATCCTTTTCAACCTATATTCATTTGAATACACTACAAAGACAAGATATTTAATGTTCAAACTCATAAACTTTTTTTTTATGCAAATAACAATTAACTCAGAATTTCATGACTGCAACACGTGACAAAGAAGTTTGGAAAGATGGCAAAAAATACTGAGAAACTCGAGGAATGCTCATCAAACACATATTTGGAACATCCCACAGATGAGCAGGCTAATTGGGAACAGTTAGTTGCCATGATTGGGTATAAAAGCAGCTTCCCCAAAAATTCTCAGTCATTCACAAGCAAGGATGGGGCGAGGTTCACCACTTTGTGAACAACTGCGTGAGCAAATAGTCGAACAGTTTAAGAACAACGTTTCTCAAAGTACAATTGCAAGGAATTTAGGGATTTCAACATATACTGTCCATAATATCATCAAAAGGTTCAGAGAATCTGGAGAAATCACTGCGCGTAAGCAGCACGGCCAGAAACCAACATTGAATGCCCCTGACCTTCGATCTCTCAGACGGCACTGTATCAAAAACCAACATCAATGTGTAAAGAATATCACCACATGGGCTCAGGAACACTTTAGAAAACCACTGTCAGTAAATACAGTTTGTCGCTACATCTGTAAGTGCAAGTTAAAACTCTACTATGCAAAGCTAAAGCCATTTATCAACAACATCCAGAAACGCTGCCAGCTTCTCTGGGCCCAAGCTTATCTAAGATGGACTGATGCAAAGTGGAAAAGTGTTCTGTGGTCTGACGAGTCCATATTTCAAATTGTTTTTGGAAATAGTGGACGTTGTGTCCTCCGGGCCAAAGAGGAAAAGAACCATCCGGACTGTTATCGATGTAAAGTTCAAAAGCCAGCGTCTCCGATGGTATAGGGGCGCAATAGTGCCCAAGGCATGGGTAACTTACACATCTGTGAAGGCAACATTAATGCTGAAAGGTACATAGAGGTTTTGGAGCAACATATGCTGCCATCCAAGCAACATCTTTTTCATGGACGCCCCTGCTTATTTCAGCAAGACAATGCCAAGCCACATTCTGCATGTGTTAGAACAGCGTGGCTTCGTAGTAAGGGAGTGCGGGTACTCGACTGGCCTGCCTGCAGTCCAGACCTGTCTCCCATTGAAATTGTGTGGCGCATTATGAAGCGTATACGACAACGGAGACCCGGGACTGTTGAAAAACTGAAGCTGTACATCAAGCAAGAATGGGAAAGAATTCCACCTTCAAAGCTTCAACAATTAGGTCGCTTTCACACCAGAGCTGTTTGGTCCGCTTTAAACGGACCAGAGTTCGCTTCCCCGCCTTGTTTGGGCAGGTGTGAAGGCTCATCCAAACTCTGGTGCGGACCAAACAAGCGAACTCTGGTTCGGTTTGTATGCAGTGTGAAAGCTCAACAGACCAAATACAGGACCAAATGTACGTAATGACGCTATACGCAGTGCATCTTGGGTAGAGGAAGCACGGCGTCACTTGTTGCTATGGCAACACGTGACCGCTGACACTAGCAGTTGCTTGCTAGCTTAGCTCAGCTGTCTGAGCAACAATAACCCATAAATTCACAATTTGGCATATTTAAACAAAATAAAATCACAACTACCAACAGTCACAGTCCTTAAACTCTGAGCTCATATGTTGTCCCATGTTAGATCGTCAAAGAAAAATAACAGGATCAATCCCTGACAAGCTACAATAGCATTATAGGAACAGTTGCGTTCACTAACGTTGTAGCACTCCATGAAATAATGTGACGAAGCACGATACAAGACGGCTAGTCCACCCCTGTTTGTAATACGTGAGGTTACATACCCCTCCTATTTTGTCCAATCGACGAGCGCCCCTTTCAACCCTATGATGCTGCTCAGAAAGTTTGGTGCGAAAGTGTGAAAGCAGAACTGAAACAAGTGATAAATGCAACAATGTTGCGACTTTCAGCTCCCCAATCGAACCGAGTCCGCTTGGTCAGGTGTGAAAGCGACCTCAGTCTCCTCAGTTCCCAAATGTTTATTGAGTGTTGTTAAAAGGAAAGGTGATGTAACACAGTGGTAAACATGCCCCTGTCCCAACTACTTTGGCACGTGTTGCAGCCATAAATTTCTGAGTTATTTAGTATTTGCACAAAAAAAAAGTTTTTGAGTTTGAACATGAAATATCTTGTCTTTGTAGTGTATTCAATTGAATATAGGTTGAAAAGGATTTGCAAATCATTGTATTCTGTTTTTATGTACGTTTCTCATAATTTCCCAACTTCAATGGAATTGGGTTTTGTAGAACACAGCGGTAGCCAACAGGCTGGCCCATCACCTGAAAATAAAAAATAAAACTGTGTTTACCAGTCCAAGGCTTTTTTCTTTCTTCTTCTTTTTTAATCAATAATGTACATACTACATACCATTTGCATTATGAACATGTTCTAGGCACAGATACAAAAAATTAAGACAGTAAAGATAGATAATGTCACAGACAAAATACATAATATGAACAATAAAATAAATAGCTTAAAGAATTGGAGCTTTTATTGTAAATTGTACAACACTGAAAAAGGTTCTTTGCATTCATATGTTCTGTGACTTTAATGTGTAATATGAGAAAGAAACTAATTGAGAAACACACAGATCTTGGATGTTATTATCAAATAGCCTACTTAGATTTGTGTGTATCATACTACCTGTATATTGAAATAGTGTTCACCAAAAAGTCAGTCTTTTTGTCCATGAAAATTCCATACAAGCAAAACTCTTGGCTTTCTGATTTCATGAATTTGCTCATAAATGTCTGGGTTTAACGCCATTAAGTTGAAGGTTACTCAACTTTCATTTTTGGACACGCAGATGTCTAAATACAGATTTGTCACTCATAATGCATCAGCTATAATGGAAATAACAGGGCATTATTATCGTATTGCTGCTGATTCTTGCTGACAGTGCTATAGAGCGTGGGTTCATACATTGAGTCGAGATTGACACAAACTCCGAACATTTGCATACACTCGCATTTTCCCACTGCATAGCGGAAATATATGATCCTGCATCATCCACCCTCTGCTAGTTACTCTGCTGTCATCTCGGTACCAAGGAGTAACTTTCTGTCGTGGGGCCGGGTGGACTGCGACCTTCTCGGCAGTTCCTTTTCTGTTTTCCTCTTTCCTCCGGTCGGCTGCTGCTATTCCTCCACGGCAGCGGGAGGTAAGAGGGAAGTGTTCTGTGGTGGGACAATCTGGTGCTAGCTTTAGGCTAACTTAGGCTAAATCGGGAGCTAATTATTTTAGCACCTGACACGTCCACTGTCCAACAACCATCATGTGCATTTGGACATTACGCATGTGGCGTTTGATTGTTTGCCGAAGATAGCGGTAAAGGCTCTATATGAATGTACATTAAAGGAAATCTTCCCCCTAAATTGAAGTTAGGCTTCTAGATTTGTTGTTAGCTAAGCGAAGACAGACTGTCTCGTTGGCCGTACTTAGTTCTTAAGCTTCCTGCGTCCTTCAAATTAAAAGCACATATTTAGTCTCCGCCAGAATGTGCAGAAATAGATATTTGCACAAATGTAAGAAGCTCACCTTGTATTGCCCGAAATTTCTCACTAAGGTTATTTAACACAAAGTCTGTGCCAGACTTTGCTTGGATGTCCAATGTTAGGCTGGCATCACAACTACAATAACTGCATTAAACTAAATGTTAGAATATTTAAGTTTAATCCCCAAAGGAGGGAGACAAACATGGAATTCACTCTAACACGCTTTTATTCTTTTTGTTGTAGTAGTTATAATAATAATAATAATAATAATAATAATAATAATAATAATAATAATAACCATAATAATATGTGTTATTATTGTTTACAATAATATTAATGATAATGTCGTATTAATCAATTGTATTTTAATTGTCGTTGTTGACGGGATCTTTTTCCTGTTGTTGCCATTTCTGTAAGCGAAACCCTGTTACAGAAAATATATGATCAAATTCGTTCGATGCTCAAAAAGGCATCTTTTGTGCCAATACTTCCGTTTACTATTTGACTCTTACTGTTAGCTTTACACAAAGAACAGCCAGCTTTCGATGTGAGGTTGATACTCACCAGACAGAGTTGACGGTGTTAGCCTAGCCAATATAGCATTTAGCGGGTCAGCTGTTGTTGTGTGCTTGGCAGCATGCTTATAGAGGCATCTTAACCGCAACATATTGCAGTAACTCTCCTGTCTGACTCTGAAGAGGTCCGGCCGCGCTGAACTCCGCTGAGCCATGCGACAGTGGTGTGTCCCCGTTGCGACCTCTCGCTCCGAACCACTCCCGGGGCGCCTGTCTGTATCACCCCCTCCATCAGGTATGTATCCTGTGAAAGACTGGAATATCTATAAACTACCCTTTTAACCAAAGCCTGTTCGCTGATTTGTTTTACTTACTATTGCGCAGCAAGAACCTGGTAAAACACTGCTTAGTTTGGCAGACTTGCATTGCGATGGCCCTGATTTGTACCAGTCTGTCCTGGATTCACTTAGTTTGAATCCATGTACTTGGCCAGAGTCCCCAAGTTTACTTTCTCTTGTTTTATTATCAATAGTGGGCTATGTACAGTAGACTAAATTTGAGGCACGATTAGGCAGAATGTGGCAAACTACTTAAAAAGGAGGAATAATACGCCTGTTATTCACATAAAAAACAGTGTTTCAGGTGAAAGAGTATGTTCAAAATTCTGGTTTCTCTTGTTATTTAACACTTCATCATTTTTCTATGTGGACATGTCATTATTTCATTTTTTAAGTAAGATGTAATCTTTAATATCATGATCTGCATAGTTAATAGAAAACAAGAAGGCAACTTCTATCACTCCCCACAACCTGAAAGCTAAAAAGGGGGATTGAAAGATATGACAAGGCTAAGTGGACATGATGTTAGGTTATGTATGCCAGGGTGATCTTACTTTAATTCCACCCTGGACAGATGAAGCAAGGTTAGCCTCAAGTGTCTTTGCCAAGTATTTGAAAGGTTGCCAAACTTTTGAATGACCCAAGGGTTCTTCAGAGGAGAATGCAGTCTTTTTTTTGTGTACCTTAGTTCAGTTCCTCAAACAAGTCTTGTTTTTTTCAGTGTTATTTGGAATTCGTATAGCAGAACTCTTTAAGTCTGTTTTTTTTTCCTTGTCTGTTTTATTCAAAGTGTTGTATTAAGCTAAATGAATCCTAACAAAGGAAGTGAAGTCTTTGAGCTCAGCTTTGCATGCCTTTTTTATTTGGGCTTTTTTTCTATTTATAATCCTTGAATCATTTTTGAGTTTGTCTAAAGGTTCTGACAATGTGACCAAAGACAAATATAGCAGTGTTTTATGATGGTAACACTTTGTAAAGTCACACTTTGTGGTACTGTTTATCTTGTGAGAAATGAACTTAAGCATGCAGTTTTGGTGTATTCATAGGACTACAGTTGGTTAATATTCTTTAAAAACTGCTCTTGAAATTGCAAGTCTCAGATGCAAAATTGACACACCAGATTGTATACAGATGTCAGAATGGAGTGCGGTGAGGTGGAGCCACGCTACACTATAGAACAAATCGACCTTCTGCAGCGGCTGCGCCTCTCTGGCATGACCAAACCTCAGATTATCCATGCATTGGAGTCCCTGGAGAGGCTTGACCCGGACCACCGGCCGCCACACTCTGATTCTCACTCTACCCCATCCAACAATAATCCCACCACAGCCGCTCCAGCACCATCCTCGTCTTCATCGTCATCGTCCTCCTCTTCCTCACTCTCCCTAGCCTCAGCTACCACACAGACCTCTGGCCTGGAAGGTGCTGCTCTGTCTCCCAGCAATAGTTACGAAGCCTCACCTCCACCCCTCTACCCTCCCACTGTGGTAGTTCAGAGGCCATTCAGCTATGACATGATGGGGGAGGAGGAGTGGGACCTGGAGGAGAAGGTGGAGGAGTACATGAGGTGAGGAGTAGAATAGAGTTACACCAGGGCTGGGTGAGGAAGAGGGAGACAGTCTGACCAAAAGAATAGTGGAGACAAAGAAAGACTATTATAACATCAGATAATGACAGCTTCCATCCCCAGAGGTGCATGCTTATTCTTCAGAATTTGAGTGGAGTTAATTCAGGTCAGGTATTTGGGGATGGCTGAAAAAGAGAAGCACCAGTGGATAAGCTTAGACAGAGTAAAGGCTGATGTTGAAACCAAGGTGTAATAGTTCTAATGCCTTTGTGGGGTTTTTGATGCTTTTATAGGAGAGACAGCAACCTCGTAAAAGAAGAGATCAAAACTTTCCTGAACAATCGGAGGATCTCTCAGGCCATTGTGGGACAAGTGACAGGTACCCTACTTCCTTGTACGTGATATTGTACATTGTAAGGAGAGCTGTGCTCTCATGAACCCTGTATTGTACAGAATGTGCTCTTTTCGGCCATACTGTTTCCTGAGATACCCAATTTGACCACAGTGCTCATAAGCAAGGTTATTATCCTTAATCATAAAATCACAAAAACTAAGATGTCAGAAAAATTTAATTACCTGAAATCAAAATAAGAATGAGGGGGTTCAAAGACACAAGGATTAACTGAAATTATCTTGTATGTTTACAAATAAACAAAAATAAAGTCAAATTGCGTAGAGAATGCCCTTTGTCTTCATCTTTCACACACCCTCCAGCAGCACCTAGAGTAAAAGTTTGGTCAGACCTCATTGTCAACAAAGGTTGAAACCACTTCTATTATTTTGTTATCGAGTAGGCTACTTTGAAACAGCTTCTTTGAGGTACTTCTCTCAAGCATTTATGTCATGAGGTGACTTTTGTCGAACTTTTACCTCTGAGTTAAGTCCCTGTCTCTCTCTGTAGTCCCTCTAATGCTTCAATTGAACCCTCTGATTAGCATGGACTCAAAAACACTGAACTAAAATAACACCAGCCATATAGTTAGTGGTGAGTCTCGTCTCTGACAAAACAAATAGCCAAATAAGATGATGCCTTGAGTTATTTATACACAGTGTTTAATTTTTGGGGAGTTTTACCACTTACAAGTATTTCATGTTCTCAAAAAGAAAGAAAAAGATAGATAGATAGAATTTTTATTGTCATTGTGACAAGCACAACGAATTTGAAAAGTGCCTTTTCAGTCAGTGCATTAAAAAAGGGACAATAAAACAGACAGTAAAGCAGTAAAACCAGTGCAGAGTTAAAACTAGTAAAAGAATTTAAACTGCAACCATAAATACATAGGCAACACATCATCTGGATATCATGGAGGTTTTGATGGAACGGACAGTGACCTCTGGAGGTCTTTGCTGTTCCTCATTGTGCAGCTGGAAAACCATGTACAGAGGCAGTATGTGAGGATGCTCTCCATGGTGGAAAAAAGACACGAGCTGTCTCTGGCAGATGTTGTTTTTCCTGAGGATTCTCAGGAAGTAGAGTCTCTGCTGAGCTTTTTTTTTTTACCACCTGTGTGGTGAGACTAAAACTAATAAAAACTAAACCAAACCAAAACAAGTCCATCTTTTAAAATGAATCAAAACTAAACGAAAGTAGGGGAAAAAAGCCAAAATGTAATAATAAGAAAAACCAAGGTGAATTTCAGGACTATTATAACCTTGCATATAAGTCCAAGAAATACAAATATTTCAAAATGATGTTTTCTGTAACAAATGATGTTGGCTCAAATTTGTGTGCGTGTGTTGATGCTGGGTTTGTATTCTCATGTTGAGGTTCTGCTTTCTAATCTCACTCCCTGGCTTATGGCAGCATACAGAGTACTGACAGCATATGTTTTCCTGTCCTAGGCCCAAAGATAAGATTTTATATCTCTCCAGGTCCCAAGTTGTTTTTGTTGTTGTTGTTGTTTTTTTCAACACAAAACATGTGGCTGAATAAAGTGTGGTAACGTACACTCATTACTGTGGTTTACAATAGGCTTGGTTCTGGCTCCACTATAACACAAAGGACTGGCTGTCTGGTTTAGGTCAGGCTTGGGCCCAGGTTTGGACTGAGATGTGTCCCCCAAGCCACACTGTAGTCTCAGCTAATACTTAATTATCACTAACTGATATTATAATTTTGTTACATTCTACTTGCTTACCACTGACATGCAAAACTAAAAATTCTCAACCACATTACTTAATGTTACAATTACATGTTCAAATGTCTTCACACCATTTCTTGAATCAGCTTTATTGCAGAAGAACAATTCTGTTGACTCTCCCTCATTTTGTGGAGGCTTTGGTTTGAGTTGTCATCCCCCTTGTAGAGTTTTAGGCTCTTATTGCTGAGTATGAGGCCTTTCTCTGCATTTCGAATAACTCTGGTGAAGCCTGTGTGAGACTTTGTCTTTGAATTTTTTAATCCGACAAAATGTGTAAGCTACCTGGAATGGAGAGAAACTCAGGTGAATCAGTCCCACTAGTTAATGCACCACTTGCTCATTCTCTGCTCTGCATGCATAGGTTTCACTGCGGGGTTTCAGAAGAGAATGAGGCGAGAGACAGCCACTCACGCACTCAGTGTGCTGAAACACTCTTAGTTAGACCCTACAGGTATTTGACCCTGTGTCTGAGCTGAACACACACAAAGGAGTAACTCTCTGGATTCTTTTTCTAATTGGCAACCTGATATAAACTGTCTGGGTCCTAATCACATGTTTGAGAAAGGCTGGCAAAGACCATTACAACCCCCAAACTGGATGTACAACCATCAATAGTATTAGTTAGAGTCACCATTAAGCAAAAGTATTAACTTGTCTAAAGAACTGTTGGTACAACTTTTGTAAACTTAACATTGGCTGCTTTGCTTTGTTTCTTAATGTTTTGAAGTGAAAGACACTTTAGTTGGACAAAACAGCTACTGTAAAATGTTTTCTTTGTGTCTAGCTGTTATGTACATTTCTCCTTTTTATTAGAAATCCTTAAATAGTGAATGAAATACATTAAAAAAAAACAGTGTCACAAGTAATAAAAACTTTCATCTACACTTATGCAATGACGAGCAACTTTTGTCTCCCTCCCCTGAGGTAGAAAAAGAAGTTGCGCAAAACCCAAGACCTAAATCCAAGTATTGTTAACCATAGGTATTGATTACCTTACCGGGAGTTTTTCCAGAGCTAGCCCACAGCTAATCTCATTGTAACAGAAGCTATTGGTGCACCACTGAGTAAATCAATGTTTGAAATGCATTAAGATAACACAACTTGTTTCTGGAACACAGGCATCAGCCAGAGCTATATCTCCCAGTGGTTGCTGCAGCAAGGCCTGGAGATGAGTGACTCTAAACGCAGAGCATTCTACCGCTGGTACCTGCTTGAGAGAAATAACCCAGGTGAGCTGTAGTACAGGTCTGGTGCCGCAGAGGTGGGACAAGAGTTACACTCAATTCTATTGCTGACTCTACCAAACCCTTATCTTCTTTATAGTGCAAGGACAACAAAATTAAATACCAGACTTTTTGTTGTGGTTAAATTATTTTCAATTTTAAATTTGATGCCAGCAACACAATTTTTTAAATGTTGGGACAGAGGCACTTTGACCATTGAATTGCATTGCCTATTCTTTTAACATTGCCTTTCAAACATTTGGGAGAGAAACCAAAGAGACCAGTGTCCAGAGTTTTGAAAAGAAAAAAAGTGCCATTCTTGTCTGATAATGGGATTTCAGCTGCTCAGCAGTTTGAGATCTTTTTCATATTTTTGTGTCATGATGTGCCAAATGTTTTCTACAAGTGACCAGTTGCGACTCCAGACAGACCAGAGTAGCACCCATACTCTTCCTCTAGCCATGCTGTTGTACTTACTGCAAAATGTTATTGTGCATCTTCTTGCTGTAGTGCGCAAAGTCCTGTCTGAAAAAGCATTGTCTAGAGAGCAGCACTCATGGCTCCAAAACCTCTATACACTAGATTGTCTAGCATTATTGGTACCTTCCAAAGGGGAAAGCAGCCATGTCACGTTTATGCCCCCCCAATATCATCAGGAATGCTGGCTTTTGGACTGCTTTGGACTGATTGTAAGCCAGGTGGTCCTTCCCCTCTTTATGGTGGGGAAGTGGCGTCCAAGAGTTTCAAAACGATTGTCTTGATTAGACTAAAGTTGTTATTCTTTTTGAAAAACTTGGATGCTGTAATCTTGATCTAGTGAAGTATTCCACTTCCATGTGGTTTCTTCTCTGCATTGGATAGTTAACATTTGTGGATGCGGTGAGCAAACGTTTTACCGTCATTGGTTTTTAGAAGTGATGCAGCATGGACAGATGAATTATGTGTGTTTTGAATGCCCTACAGAATGAGAGCATGAAGATCAGTACCATCCAGTACGGGTGGTCTGTCTTGTCCTTTTTGTACAAAGATTCCTCCAGATGTTCAGAATCTTTGAATGATACAATAGGGGAGACTGGGGCTTGTTGTCACATGGGTAAGTTGTCACATTGCAATTATCTTTGCCACTAGAGGGCGCAACTAAAAAGTGAAATAGTGGTTTTCTTCCTTTACATGGTCAGGGGTCGTGTCCTGTCTGAGAAGAGAAGAGCATATTGTGAGCTGAGATGAGCACCAATTTACCATTTTGCACAACCCAAAGTAAAAAAAAAAATATTTTAAAATAAGCTTCTTCCAGATAAAAATCCTAGCTGTGAAACATGTAGACTTGTTAAAGGAGAGATAAAGGCATCCTGTCATACCTCAGTCATTGTTTTGTTTTAAACTAACTTTAAGCTAGAGCTACAATTAGCAAACATTGTAGTTTGAAGCAACATGTTTCAGTCATTTTGGGGTTAGTTGTCACATGTTTAAAATTAATTAAATTAACATAGAGAGTCTGCTTATCAGCAGTTGTCATATTGCAATTTTGACTTGAGTTTTACAGAAAAAAAGAGTGGTTTAAAGGAGAGGACAGTGCAGTACCTGATGTGATGCTGAGGGCAGTCAGGCAAGTGATCCTAGCTAATAAATCAATCTGGAGGACAATAAAGGACTTTAATGTCAACTACCATACCTTGGCTCGGTACTGCAGAACATTCACCCCAGCTGAAATACAGAGTCCGACAGCTCTCCAAACTCCAGAGCATGTTGCATAATATTTTGTGTAAACGATTGTTCAATGACTTTTTCCAGCTCAATGATAAACATTTTCTGTGCCTGACTTTGATGTTCACTTTCAAGTAAAAAAAATGAGAACAACAATAATTTTGTCCTTGTTTTATTAGCTGCAAGATCCACTGTCACATCTTACCCCATATAGTGAGACAACTAACCAGATGGTGGGGCAACATGTCACATGTTCACACTCTCCATTTGATTGCTTATAATTCTGCACTGACACAAGATATGAAAATGACATGAATACGAAATATGTACCTGAGACTTTGGTCTTTCTTTTGGTACACATTTATATATGATGTATTGATTTAAAGAAATATATGAGTGTAAAAAGTGTAACAACAAGCCCCGATCTCCCCTATACCATAGTTGATGAAATGCTCAATGCTCTTTGTGCTGCTGCTGCTGCTGCTGCTGATAATAGATGGTGACAGTGATGACAGTGTCATCATGATTTCTTTTGGTTGGTGATTCCCTTTGGTTGATGGATTGATGATGGTTATACGTGACAAAAACAACTGCATGTCCCTTGCTTTGGACAAAAGCGTCTGCTAAATGACACTGTGATATTGTAAGGAACATTCTTCTGAAACTGCTGAACTATTTTCTGACCCAGTCTCTCACAAAGCGGTTAACCTCTTGCAATCTTCATTACTGAGGGACCCAGCCTCTCTGGAACGGCCTTTTTATACTCAGACATGTTACCTGTTGTGAATCAGTGTGATTAGCTGGGTGATGTTCTTCCGTTTTTTTTTCTTCCTCTTTTTAGCCTTATACAACGTATCGAGTGTTTTGTTATCCCTGTCTCAACTGTACTTTTTTTTTCAGTTTCACCATTTAATCTGTTGTCTTTACAGTATTTTGAATTAAATACAAGTTTGAAAGCAATTTTATCAACATTTTGCACAAGGTCCCAACTCTTGTGGCATTGGGGTTGTTGAAAAAAAAAAGTGGGAGGCATTTTTATAATCGAATTACTTCTCATGAAAGTGAACTATTGCTTGCTGTACCCTTCCATTCTACCTCCTCTGTGCCTTCATTTTCCTGCATGGGCTTCCCACATACGTATCTCTAATTCCTCATGCTAATTCCATCCTGTTTCTGAAAGGCTGTGAGGTCAAAGGAGGACATGAGACAAGACCTGAGAGGAAAGGCAAATGGTAAAGGTGGTCCTGTTACAGGAGATGCTAATCAATATTGTTAGGGCTTGGTTTAGAATTGGACACTCTGTTCAGTGAATATGGTTTGTAAATACGGGCTACAGTAACAGTCTGGGTTTGTGTAGACTTCTCCATATCCTAGGATTCAGGAAGACAGATACCAAGAAAAAGTTTTTACAAATTATCAACAAATAACTGCAAAAATGCAAAGAATGCATTTACAATCAATTATGTTGAAGAATATTAACTTGTTACATTTGAAGTCTTTTTTTAAAGAGAGACACCGATGCATATGAGCCAGGTTTTCTGTCTTCCTTCATTTAAAGCCCTCGTTTTTTCTGCCCACCAAAGCTTTGCTTTAGCTCCTCTGTAGTTGTCGGCTCTGGTGCTGAAGTTACTCTGGTGCTGGTTTTCATTCCTATTTGGCTAACAGACAGATTATTAACAGCAATACTAACAACAACTAATTTCCTCACCGGCCACAATGCTTTGATTCTGACAAAGGCTCCTTTTGACCTGCCTGTAAAACCCAAAGCCGCAGTGTTGTGTACTTGTAAGTTGAATTGGTTGATCAACTGGCATTTAAAGATGACCAAATCACTGGATAAGACTGCAAGGCAGGTCTACAGGAGTGTGTCAGTAAATAAAATTCATTTCAAAATTCCATCAACCAAAACTGGTGCCTGTAATCTAATCCCTGGCTGAGGCCTGCCTGACCATTGGTTTTGTCCCAACTGAAGGGCTGAGGTGGAGTGAAAGCCAGCACAGCGTGAGTTCCATGCCCAGGGCCAGGGGAGGGGACAGAGACGGAATGGTAGCAGGGGCAAGTGGCAATCTACCCAACTTCCTCCCTAACCCCAACACCAGCCTCAACCCCAACCCAGTGTGGAGCAGGCAGAGAGAGCTGCTGATGCACTTGCTGCCGTGGTACACTGCAGCTGCCGCAGCCGCCCAGGCCCAGCCAGGTAACTGTGCCTTTCCTGCCTGGGCTGCAGCAGCTTGCTGCAGGAGTCACCTGCTCATCCACTGAATACCATGAAGCCTATAGAAGCTTTGTTAGTATGTGATGTATTTTGAGAGTCTCAAACAGCAGAGTAAAATAAGTTTTGTTAGTTTTATAGCAATACTCCCTAAAATAAAACAGCTCCATGGTATTTAAGCATGAGTCAGTCAACTCTGGCACCAGCTGTGTGTAAGTTTATAGGTACCTTTAAGTGAAACTGCCCATCGTGAGCACTATTGTACAACATGGCTGCAGGACCAAGAATGAAACCATTTAACAGTCAGCTTTCTGACGCAGTTTTTCTTCTTTTCAATTTATTTTATTTTTTATAAACTTGATTCGAACATCTTAGACTGGGAAGTAGAGGAAATCAATCCAGTGTGCAGTGAGACTCAGCAGTGTATGGGACAAACATCAGTTCTAAATGTTTGTTGTATAACTAACTGCAGCCAGTCATATTTTAAAACACCTCCTATGTTTTCACAAACTTTTAACTCCATTGTGGCTGAAATGTGGGCAAAAGACTACAAAAACCCAGCATGCTCTTCCATAAAGTTAGGCCCTTTCCCTCTCATGGATATTTACCCTTCCTCAATGAAAGGAATAAAAAAAGGCTGGATTTGATTGCAAAATCAGTAAATTTCCTGTCATTTGCAGCAATAACATAATAATAGATGTGTGTTATTAGGTGTTTTTGTGCTCTTGAGGACACATTATTGGTGTATAAACAGCTGGTTGTAGTATTAAAATGAAAGCGCTGAGGAAGCTGTGAAATCAGTTCTTGGGGGACTCAGTCTATGCCATCCCCTGTCACTACTGCATCTTAAATTTCAATTAGCTAAATTCTGCAGAAGATAAACACTAACTCTAAACAAGTTCATGTATTTAGGGAACATGTAATTTTGTGAAAACAGTCAAATTGAGACAGAAAGTCTCAATCTTCACAGTTGCTTAAAATCCTATCTCATTTAAAAAAAGAAAATTGCATATCTTCTCTCCTTCAGGGGCAACTTTATCAATGCGGTCTTTGGTAAAGGAGGAACCTGACTGGAGGACAGGGATCATGACTGGGGACAGAGCAGGAATTGTGGGTGGCCCTCTGAGGCTGCGTCGAGGAAGTAGGTTTACCTGGAGAAAGGAGTGCCAATCCATCATGGAGAGGTAAGCAAATGTCAAAAAAACATGACTCCAACTGAAACTAAGGAAAAGTAAAAATCCAGCCTTGAAACATTTTGAGTGGGTTTGTTAAGTTTGTGAAATAACATTATTTTTACCATAGATGTAAAGATGCATCAAAGTGAATCAGTCACCAATCTGAACATGCTAAAAAACCTAGAACCTGGGCTTTGGGCCACTGAGTGCCTTATACTGACTGGTCAGTGGCCCAGTTTTTAAGCTATGACTTAAATTACAGGGGTTTTGCTGTTTTATTTATATTTTTGTTGTTGCATTCTGTGCTTAGGGTTGTGGGAACTGGTTGTTTACTTACATTTACACGTAAGTAATGAGAGAGAAAGCATTTCCGAGAACCATGAGGCAATTTCCAATCTCCACCTCAGAGAACAAGTCATGTAGACTTAATACGAAGGATGCAAAAAGTTCCAAAATTCTTCCTGTTTGAATGCCGTGTAGAGAAGAGATTATGTGTATTGGCTGCTAGTTTGAACTTGTAAGACTTCACAAACCCACACGTGCTACAATGCCAGCATGAGCAAATGACCCCCAATTCTGAACCTTGTGCAAGGTCACAACTTGATCTGGAGGGACAAATTTTCTGGCTTTTTAGCAGAGACATTGACTGGTCAACTTCTCTGGTCTGCAGGTCAGAAAATACCCAGAAAACTGTCAAAATCGAAACACAATTAATGTTACATGGCCAAACAAGCAGTCATGAGTCTACAAGTAAATAGTGTCATATCATTTGTTTACCGAGTGTGGCTAACATTATCAGAGCTATCAGTTGCTATCTGTCATGTGTGTATGTCAACATCAAATATTTTTCCCAACATCAATTTTTGGTGCATAATGGCATGATAGCAGAGGTCATGATAAGAAGTTTTACCAACTAATTCACCTAGGGCTTACTCTTACCACAAGAGTGGCGACATGTTATTGCTTTCTGGACTAAAAGCGCACATCCGTAATTATTAGAGGCACAGCTGATGAAATGAGACATGAGATCGGTCAGTAAGATGAGATTTTCACACTATTTTCAAGATAGCTTCATTAATATGATGGGACCGGAAAAACACTTGAATTATGCAGGTCCTCTCTGAAGTGGTTTAACCTCACTGGCATGTTATGAATGTCACCTCAGTTCTGTTCCCTAAATAAAAAAATAACTCAGTACAGGAGAAGACATGGTGACCATCATGTAGTCACTGTAAGAGTGTCATCCTTATCATGTTTGTCTGATCAGGCTTATGAACGGCAGAGAGAAGTTGTACTCTCATCTGACTAAATTATGAGTTATCAGATTTACACATTTCAGGGGTGTTCCCCATCTATCGCAGCTGGAAACATATGTAGGGATTTTTTCCATGACACAGAGATCCTTTTTTTCCAATACTATTTCTAGGTCTGGAATAAAGTTATCGATAAATTATGCTGATCACATGACCTGACTGAAGTCTGTGGTTATGAACTCCTACATATTACTCTCTCTGCCTTGGTGACTATTTTTTGATGATAATGACTTATGATTCATTTATTGTCACTAGGTATACTAGGCAGACATGACACAAAAGACAGTTGGTCACACAGTCAAGTCTTGTTCTGTATAACTGTATAACGATGAAACAAATAGCTGTCTAGAGATTCTGTTGACAGAATCAAACAGACAGTTGTGTCATAGATCCATTTGCAGATCGACAATGCATTTGGAGAAAGGTGTACTATTTTAGTGACAATTGTTGATAGAGATGCCCTAGCTTTTTTTTTTTACATTTTATTGTGTTACAGTAGGGCTGCACAATATATAGTTTTAGCATCGTCATCCCAATGTACGTGTGCGCGACGGTCACATTGCAGAGTCTGCGATGTAGGAGGCGAATGAGCGTATCTAATTTCAAGGGTAGCTAACAAGAGCTCATCAATTAACCGAATCTACCTGAATGAGGGAATGTTGGCCCAAGAATGAACTTTCTCATCAATCAAATCTCATCATATCATTGTCCATCACCTTAGTCACCGTAATCTGTCATGAGGTCTGGTAGAATAAGATCTTGAGTTACACCCCTAGTAGTTATGAGCATTCTTCCAGAGCAGTAAAATTGTCTAAAATCAGCAAAGGTCAGAGCAAGTTTGCTCTTCATGTGTACAAAAAAGCTTGCAAAACTGCTCTGCCACAGGTGTTTTTTTTTTTTTAATGTATATACCACTATTAAGATATTTGACTCATAATAACAATCATCAGCCTTGCGTGACATTTGTGAGTTAGATACCAGTAGATATCTAAAAGGTGAAAAAACTGTACCTTTTATGGGTGATTCATTATTGCTGTTTCTTTAAGAAATCATAGTTGAAAGAAAAGCTGACATTGTGATTCTCTGATCAGTCTTAAAGTTATATGTTTGTCATATTCCTGAGCTCTTCTCTGTATTTGTCCCAGGCAATATTCTGAGAGAAACATGGAAAGTTTCAGAAAAGAGGGGTAGATTTCCATGTACAGTTTGACCCGCTGTGTGAAACTGATTTTTGTATTACGGTGTCATGCCTGTTGTAAGTTTAGTGTGCAGTCTGGGTTCAGTCAATAAGACCACACAGGCCCTCAGACAATAAACTCACCAGCAGTGCTCCCAGATTATGCAATTCTGCTGCAGTGCTGATCCTTCTGCTAGTTTAAAGCCAAGGACAGTACAGTAGAGGTGAAAGTGATCTAGACCGAGAGTGTTTGTGTATCTGTGTTTGTGCAGTGGTCAGCTCTAATGGTAAGGGGAAGACAGGGATGGGGAAAAAAATTGTGGCGTGTGGTGTATTTTGTGGACCCAGAAGCAGACTCAGAGACAGATAGCCAGTTAAAAGATGTAATTTCAATGTCCAAACTCAGGGAGAAAAAGGTACGATAGAAAGTCCAGTTGGCTGGCTGGCTGTTGTGTGGGCTGGAGACACTGTGGAGAAGCAGAGAAGAAGAAGGTGAGAAGACATACAAGGAATCACAGGGAGCAAAAAGTCACGAGCACTTAGCCGAGGAGAAGGCCAGGAGAAGTGTTTGTACCACTCAGGAGCGAAGACAATACTCAGGCACTGAGACTGAGGGCTGCTGGCTTCTTAAAGGGCCTTGATTACGAATGCAGCGCAGGTGTGGTGTCTCGCTCAGCCCCAGCCACAGGGGAGAGGGAGAGGGCTCTGAAAAAACAGTCAAGCCAGACCAGGGAAACAAGGAAAACGGGAAGTTCAACCAAAATAAAACAGGAGGTTGAGGCGTCTCACCACAGTACCCCCCTCTCAACGAACACCTCGAAGGAGGGCTCAGGGTGCAAGAGGTGACAGGCTCAATAAGGGAGACATGAAACGTGGGGTGAACTGTAAAGGAATGAGGGAAGTTTCAATCTCACTGCCGAGGGGTTGATAATCTTCTGGATAGGTAAGGGACCAATGAAGCGAGGAGACAGCTTGTGGGACTCGGTCTGCAAGGGAAGGTCACGGGACGATAACTAGACCATCTGACCGGGACGATAGTCTGGTGCTGGAGAGCGGTAAACATCAGCCAGGCGTTAGTTGCGCTCAGCCGTGCGAGTGAGTGCGGCCCTGGAGGATTTCCACACCTCCTGTAGCCACGCCCACCGCCTAGCAGAAAGCTTTCCAAACCTGGGAGGAGAACTGGGGGCCATGGTCTGACACAATGTCAATGGGGATACCATGGAATTGGAAAACATGAGACACTAGGAGGTTTGCAGTTTCTAGTGCAGAGGGGAGCTTGGGTAACGGAATATGATGCACAAACTTGGAAAACCTGTCTATAACGGTAAGTATGACAGTGTTACCTTCAGGGGGGGGAGACCAGTGACGAAATCTAAAGCTTTGTGAGACCAGGGGCGTGAGGGCACAGGTAGAGGATGCAGCAAGTCAGCCAGAGGTTGGTGGGAGGCTTTGTCGGGCACAGACGGAGCAGGCGGCAACAAATGCCCGTACGTCCCGGACCATCCCTGGCCACCAGAACCGCTGCTGCAGGAATTGGAGGGTGCGTTGAAATCCAGGGTGACAGGTGAGTTTAGAGGAATGCCCCCACTGTAGGACCTGAGAACGTGCAACCTCAGGGATGAACTTCCTATCAGGAGTGCCAGTTCCAGGGTTTGGGTGTTCAAGGAGGGCCTTGTCCACAACGGTGTCGATTTCAAATAGGCAGAGCCGACGACACAGGAGGCAGGGAGGATGGTGTCCGGTTTGCTGGGGTCCCAGGTAGCAGAGGAGTGAATCCGGGATAAGGCGTCAGGTTTGATATTGCGGAAGCCGGGACGATAGGAGAGGGTGAAGCAGAATCTGCTGAGGAAGAGGGACCAGCGGGCTTGTCTAGAGTTGAGGCGTCGAGCAGAACGGAGATATTGCAGGTTCTTGTGGTCAGTCCAGATGAGAATAGGGTGTTGTGCTCCTTTCAGCCAGTGTCTCCACTCTTGGAGTGGCCCCCACTCCGAAGCGGCGACCTCCACCATGAAGTGGAGAGAGGGATCCGGGTGTTTGAGCACCGGGGCGGAGACGAAGAGGGACTTGAGCTGACGGAAGGTGGCATCTGCTTCAGGGGTCCAGGAGAACGGGACTTTGAGGGATATGTTCTTTGAGGGAGATGGAGGCATCTCACCACAAAAATGATCTTTTTGTGTTTTTAAATGTGAAATACTGATTATTCTTGTTTTGAAGGTCCATAGCAAAGGTACACTCAAGTAAATAAGGCTTCAAAAGGAAAAAGATTAAGGGCACTGTGACATTTACTTTGATATAATGAAATCTCAGTTTTAAAGGATAATCACTATAATTATTTCATTTGCCGAGGTACAAGTAGCAAAAGAAAAAGTGTACATTATGAGAATAGCGCAAATGCTCCTGTTGATGAACGCTGTCCTTGCTCTCCTAGACTTGAAGTTGAATAGTTTAAAGTAAAGTGGAAACTATCACTCATCCGACTGGTCTGTTCACCTTATACTTGGTCTGTTTGTTTGTTTGTCACAGTTTCTTTATGGAGAACCAATACCCTGACGAAGCAAAGCGGGAGGAGATTGCCAACACCTGTAACTCAGTCATTCAGAAACCAGGTACTATGTGACTTTTGAACATTTTATGACTGTCACTTTGAAAGACTTTTTGATTTTCAACTACTGGCCTACTCCTTTGGCAGACATACCCAGACATTCAGTGCAAACCAACAAAGTTTGCTGCTTATGTTCTTTAGACGTGGCATTCCTCCAGTTGTTTATTTTCTACATATCTGGGGTCAGAATTGCTTAGTCTGTATTAGAAAAAACAAACAAACAAACATTCAAATCCATCCAGAAACATCTTAGCCAACAAGTATTGGCTATAATAGATTAACATTTTTGTTTGTCTATCACCAAAAAGTAAGGATTTCTGAATGCTTTGATATCATCTGAGTTTTGCTATAAGTTTGCAGTTAAATTAAAAAAAAAAGAAATTCCCTGTAGTATTTCATCAATCAGAAAATCTTTATTCGTCAATGGGGTATCATTTATTTTTTAATCTATAGTTTAACTGTTCTTATATGAACTGCCACTACTACCATTATTATTTGAACTTCTTCAAACTGCTTTCAGGCTTGTTGAATGCTCTTTATTGTCCTTAATCGTGTACAAGATATCTTTATAAACTCTTGTCTTTGATTACATTGCCATTGCAGACCAGTACACTCAATGAGGAACATGCCTCTTCCTAACCCCTGTGGTTTCTCTTTATTCAACAACACTATGAATGCTTCAAGCTAGTTGTATGTGTATTTTGTTGCTTAGGTTGTAAGCTGTCTGAGTTTGAGCGTGTGACCGCACTGAAGGTTTACAACTGGTTTGCAAACCGTCGTAAGGAGATGAAGAGAAGAGCAAATATTGGTGAGTATCTAACACTTGTTTACACCTACATTCTATTCATGTATCTGCAAAATTTTCATTATTAGGCTTTGTAGCATGTTTCTGTCTTAAAAAAATTCCAATGTCACCAACAGGCTGAAGTAGGGTTAGCCTTCCTTACCCATATTCAGTTTTTTTTATCTTGCACAACAGAAGCTGCCATTTTGGAAAGCCATGGAATTGAGGTGCCAAGTCCAAGCTGCCACTCTAACGGAGAGGAGGGGGAGCTGCAAGAGTTTTCTGACCAGGTGAATCATCGATTTCCAGAACAGGTAAGTCATCTTTTCAACCGAAGCATGATGCTGCCAGCTACTACAATGATTCAACACCTATTGTTCGACATTGAGAAACGATAAAGTTTTTCTTCCTCATGTTCCTCTTTTTCTTCATCTTTTTCTTTTTGTTGTTGTTCTTCTTCTTCTTGTTTCCTCCAACTGTCCAAAATGATCAATTTAAAAAGGAAATATTTTATTTAATTTCGTTGCTTAACAATAACAATTGGACACTACATTTTAACGTACATTGTCTCTACAGAAATGTCACTTGTCACTACAAGAGCACCACACACAGCAATGACAGACATTCAATCCTCTCAGTCAAATAGCACAGAAATATTCTGACATAGTTTAGTTAACACATTGCCATAAGGAAGTTAGTAGGGCTAGGCCTGGGACCATAACAAATTTTGTTGAACGATATATTGTCCCACAAATTATTGACAATTAACAATATTATTGACGACATTATCGAGACCAAAATAACCACTTGTGTAATGTTAATATATCATAGTAATGAAAGTACACCCTTTCAAATGCAACAATGAAACCTTTATTTCTCATTGGAATGTCCAGAACCAGAACTTTTAAATATCCTAATTAAATAAAACAAACAAACAAAAAATAAATATGGAAGTAAATCTGTGCCGTCTGAAATTGAATTTGAATTTCTAAATCTGAATTTTTTTTTGCATCAAGAACAGACTTGGAATTTTAAAAACATCAAATTTCAAGCACACCTTTTTATTTCTGACAAATTCAGTGTGAAAAAGCAGTCTCTCAAAAATCATTTAGTCAAAATTCGACTTAAAAAATTCAGTGTAAACAAAATGTCTCTCACACACTGATTCAACTCCTCATCTGTCATAGGGCTGTACAGTTCCCATACTGATAGATCATACTTGCCCATGCGTCAGTGTACTCTATGTTTGCTCATCCCCAAGAGCTGAGCAATACATGGAACAGAAAAATTACGTTCAAGAAGTTTGTGCAGGTAGTCTGGCAATATGACCATCGGTTGTCGCCCAGATGGTCCTTGCTCAAATTGCACAACTGCATCATGTTGCTCTATTCTCTCTTTTTCTAAATTGATAAGACTTTGTAGCTCTGTCAGTTAAGGCTGCACGATATTGGAAAAAAACTAACATTGCGATTTTTTTTAACCCTGCGATATATATTGCGATATTAAAAAATACAGGAATGTTCACCAGATGACCTGAATAGCATTTAGCAATCCTGTCCTGTCCCACTCCCGTAAAATGACTCCCACTCCCATCCCGCTCCCACTCAAAATTACTCCCACTCCTGTGTGAATAAAACCAAACATGTAAAAAAAAAAATTGAATTTTTTATTTTAGGTAAAAGTGCAGTGCATATAAAATGCATTGCCTTTAAGTTTCACATGGTTGACATTCAGTCGGTGTAAACAAAGTGCATATATATATACAATGGCGTTTCTAGACTAAATTACTCCCCAGGCGAGGGGACTAAAACTAAAACCTGATCTTTCTTGCCTTCCTTGATGCAAAATCATCAATAATCTCGTCATAAGAAATCTGCTCCCCTATTAACCCATTAAGACCTGAACCCTGTCTGAGACACGCATTGAAAACCTTAAACAAACAAACTTAAATTAAATAAAGCCGCTGTATAAATAAAAGGCTCTGCACTGGAGAATAACAAAGTATTTGCTTTCTGTAAAACAAGTGGCAAAACAAGTGTTGAAAGGGTATGCAGCTGCCCTAGTATAGTGCCAGTACAAGACCAGCACTTAAAACTAGAAAAATGAATAAATAAATACGTGGCTGACAGTGTGTTCATGTCTGTGCTCACTTTAAGTCATGCAACACTCACAGAAAACGCTGATAGTATGAGCCAAAGACCTCAATATGAAGAGGTTGTTCACACTGCTGGATGTTTCTCCTCCAAAGCTGCTCTGTGCCTCCGTCGTTGTTTACTTTACTCTTGAAGCACGTAGCAAGATCCGAGCATGAATCCAAGCGCTTTATTCGCCTATCAGAGGCAGACGGTTATGGTGATTTGATTCACCACGACTCCAGAAATGATTAATGTCACAAAATGACGTATCCGCACTCCCGACATGAAGGGTAAAAATGCACAGCCGCGCTCTCAGCTTGGAAGGCTAATATGCGGACATACTGTCCCGGTTTAAATGGGTTAAGTGATTGTTGCGGATGACGACAAGGCCAGTGAGTAGGCATGTGCTGATATGAAAATTTGATATCACGATATTGGTGGCCCAAAATATCGCGATTCAGGATATTATCACGATATTATCACAATATTAGTGCATTGCTTTTAACATTATTAAAAATGGCAAAAAACTGCAAAATCACTTCTGTTAAACAATATTTATTCTTTGACAGGACTTAAGTGAACAACAATGGCAACACCCCTGTAAACTGCCACAGTGATTGAAAATAAACAAATACAATATAAATAATGCAAGACACAACCAAAGAAAAATAATACTGCCTTGTCTGTCTGGCTGTAGCCATTACTGAATAAAAATAAAGTGCCTACAGTAGCAATAGTGCCAACTGCCAATTAGACACCGGCTAAACTTCTTATAAAAACAAACAAAACAAAAATGACATTGGATGAGAGCCTTGTGTGGCCTAGGGAGTGAGATGTGGAACAATAGCCCTTTTCAAGGTAGATTAAGTTGCAAAAAAGTCAGCATGTTCACTTTTTCTGGCTTTAGTTTTTTCGCAGAGGTGTGACAATGTGTCCACTGGCACTAAAGACACGTTCCGAAGGCACACTAGTTGCAGGTATGCAAAGAAACCGGCGTGCAACATTTGAGAGATGGGGCATTTCACCTGAATGTTCTTTCCACCACTGCAAAGGATCCCGCTCCAACCGTGGCCATTTCACTGATGGATCCCCCTCCTCATCCTCAAGTTCCTCAATGGCAGGAAGTATTGGAAGACACATATAGACGTTCACCTCTGCCCTCATCTGCCATGACAACACAAAAGACACATAAAGAAAAATAATTTGAAAAAGGAAAAAAAAAAAAAAGTACTTTTATTCATCATATATTCAGTTGAACAAATAAGTTATCTTTTTTCCTCCTACATTTTAAGATTCATAATTTCATCTCACCTGTTCTTCTGGACTGGTGGCACTGGTGGCTTCTTCGGCTCGGTGCTGCTCCCTTGTTGTAGTGATTGTCTTCAGCAAACCAGCCAGGCTGCCAGGCTTATGTTATTTAAGGGGCTCTCTGGGTGTCCTCATTGTGCTGGAGGATGAGCATGCAGCTGCAGCGCTGGCAGTGGGCTGTGGCAGTCCTAGTATCTGGTAATACCTGGTCCTGATTAGATGCTTGTATTTGGCTAGATAACAGAGCTGCACACCTTTCTTTTTAGTTTCCCTACACAATTAACCATGACGGGATTTACCTATGCTAAATGTTGATACTCAATTCATCACAACTTGCTCTACATGGTGTGAAGGCAGTGACTATTCATTCAGCATAAATTATCATCACATTTAACACAACCAGGATGGGACTCCCTTTCAACCAAACTCCCTTTGGACAGCTTGTATTGTTGACAAGTTGAAATTGGCAAGATGGCGCCAGGGGCTGGCCGTCTGTCGCTCTGCTCTGTGTTTGTTGTGTGTCTAGTGATTTACCTGATGTGTCAAGAGGTATCATCTCTCCTCACATATGATCGTCAAACTTTGCTTGAGATTGGGGGCTTCTTTGATCAGCTTAAATATTACAAACTGGTGAACTCTCCTCCACACCTCGAGGGAATCTAGATCTGTGAAGGGGAACTTTCGCCTTTTTCTGAGCTCCTTCCTCCTGGTTGAGGTTTTTTCAGCTCTCCTTGCGTCACCGGCAAAGGTGGAGGACTAGCATCTATATTCAAAAACACTTTTCAGTGTCAGCAGTCTCCAGCTGTCAACTGCTCCAGCTTCGACGCACATGCAGACAGGCGGAAAGGAATTGGAAAAGGGACAAACTCCAAATTTCCTGGGATCTCCTACATGACTCTCTCCTGAGATATCAGCAGGCTGTGAAAAATGCAAAAACAGAGTATTTTTCCTCACTTGTCGCCTCTAATGCTCACGAATCGCAGGTTCTTTTTAATGTATTTGACTCTTTAGTAAATCCCTGTGATGCTGTCTGTATTGATCCTTCATCTTCTCTGTCTGAGGACTTTCTGCAGTTCTTTGTCAATAAGATTTCTGCTCTTAGGTCCTCATCCTCCCAGTCTGTTCAGGACCCCTCTGTTCCTTCAGCTAGCTCAGCTGTCTTTCAGCAGTTTGAGCCTGTTTCCCGCTCAACACTTCATGAAATAGTGGTAAACTTACGTCCTGCTAACTGTCCATCTGATAGCATTCCTTCCTGTTTGTTTAAAGTGGTTTTTAATACAGTTCAGTCTTTTATTTTGCCTCTCCTTAATCGGTGTCTCAGCTCCAGAAGTGTGCCTCCTTCAAACATGCCACAGTGCAGTCTCTCTTGAAAAAGAAAAATATGGATCCCTTGGTTTTGTCCAATTTTAGGCCAATATCCAAACTCCCTTTTATTTCCAAAGTGTTTGTTTAAGAGAAAATTGTTTTTAACTAATTTTTACAAGGGGCAAATGTTTGTGAACTGTTTGAGTCTGGTTTAAAGTCTCTTCACGGCACTGAAACTGCTCTTTTAAAAGTTTTTAATGATCTTTTGACAAACCTTGATTCTGGTAACTGTGCCCTTTTAATCCTCCTTGACTTGACAGCAGCTTTTGACACGGTGGATCACTCAATCCTCCTATCAGGCCTTGAACATTGTGTAGGCATCAAAGGCACTGCTTTGAGCTGGTTCAGATCGTACCTCTCTGAGAGATCTTTCTCTGTGCACATGGGCCAGTTTTCTTCCACAGTTGCCCCTCTGACGTGTGGAGTCCCCCAAGGGTACGTTCTGGGTCCCCTACTGTTCTCCCTCTATATGCTACCCTTGGGGTCAATTTTTAGAAAGCATGGTGTTTCTTTTCACTGTTTTGCTGATGATTTGCAGGTTTATTTGCCTGTTAAGGTCCCGACCAAAGACCCTCTGCAGGTCATGCTGAACTGCATGAATGATGTAAAGACATGGATGGATCTTAATTTTTTAAAATTAAATGAAAACAAAACAGAGGTCATCCTGTTCAGTCGTCCTGACCTGGTTCAGGTCCTTGCCAGCTCCTTTGGCTCACTGGCACCTTACATAGGGTCTCATGCCAGGAATCTTGGTTTTATTATTGATGATGATTTTAATCATCAAATCTAGCTTTTAGATTATTGTAATTCCCTGTATGTCGGCATTGGCAAATCAGAGCTCAACGGCTTGCAGCTCAATTAGGATGCTGCAGCTCATCTCCTAACTGGGACCAAGAAACGGGAGCACATAACTCCGGTGCTTGCCTCTCTTCACTGGCTCCCTGTTAGGTACAGGATCGATTTTAAGATTCTTTTATTTGTTTTTACGTCTCTGAATGGGCTGGCCCCATAATATCTCTCTGACCTTGTTAAACTGCGCCAGCCCTCCGGAGCCCTGAGGTCAGCTGATCAGGTGGTTTTGGACGTTCCTCGATCCTTTTTAAAATCTAGAGGAGATAGAGCATTTTCTGTCATGGCTCCCACTTTGTGGAATGCTTTACCCCTTACAGTGCGCAATTTTAAAACACTTCTGAAGACGCACCTGTTCACTTTAGCTTTTGGGGAAGTATAGCTACTTTTACTGGGTATTTTATTTATGTGTATGTATTCTTGTTTTATGATTTTATATGTTTTATGCTTTTATTGTTTTAATAGTTTTTATAGTTTTTATTGTCTCTGGCTATTTTACGGTAAAGCACTTTGGTAGGCCACTGGCTGTTTTTAAATGTGCTATATAAATAAAGCTGACATTGACATTGACAACCAACCAGGCTGCTTCTTGAGGGGATAGAATAACCAATCAGCATGTTCAAACACAGATGACTGTCTAACACGAGTCTGGTTCTGCTAAAGGTTTCTGCCTCTTTGAAGGAAGTTTTTTCATTGCCACTGTGACTGGCTAAGATGGGACTCAGTCTTGTCTCATCTTTACATCTGGTCTTAGTGAATACCATGAAGAGTATTGTCTAGACCACATTTTCTGTTCAGTACGCTACTGGTCAAAAGTTTAAGAACACCCTGAATTTTCCAGAATTTTATTGAAAATGATGCAGTTTAATGTAAAATTAATGCATAGAAAAAAATAAACAATTGAAGTTGAAAAAGAAATCATTGAATCAATTTAGAAACGAAAATGCATTCTAAACTTTTGACGCATCAAAGTAGCCCCCTTTGACAAATATAACAACTGAACCCACTTGTGGTATTCTTCCGACAATGGAAATCAAATATTCTTCAGAGAGTTCTTCCCAACTCTATTGCAGAAGTTTCCATAAATATGTAGCACTTGTAGGTTGTTTCGCTTTCACTTCGCTTGTTTTTTTTCACTCCTCTGTCCAGTTCATCCAAACCAGCTCGATGGGATTTAAGTTTGAAGTCTGGCCATTCCATGTTTTCAAGCTTACCATCTTGTTCTTCTGGCATAGCTTGGACTTATGTTTTGGGTCATTATCTTGAATGGATGAACCCCTGACCAACTTGGCACATCGCAGAGGGTACTGCATGGTGCTGCAGAATGCTGTGGTACTTGTTTTGGTTCAGGGTGCCTTTCACTCTGTGCAAGTCGCTGACCCTGGATTCAGTAAAACAGCTCCAGACCATCACACTTCTTCCTCCATGTTTGACAGTTGACGTCACACACTGAGAAACCATCCTTTCGCCTACTCAGTAGCGTACAAAAATCCTGCGTGATGAACCGAAGATTTCAAATTTGGATTCATCAGTCCATAACACCTTCTTCCAGTCTTCAGTAGTCTCTTGGCGGTGTTGGCAGTTTTGGTTAACCTTACCTTTTTTTACTTACCTCTGGCAGTTCTCCACTTACCTTTGTACCCTTTCAAGCTGTTTATAGGACTTGAACTGTTTGAATTTCATTAAAAAACTGGAAAAATTGGGGTGTTCTAAAACTTTTGACTGGTAGTGTATGTATTCATTTATGGTGAACAAATTCATAATGTTGTGTTCAGCCTGAGTCCAAGTTGCACTAGCAAGAAGGGATCTTTTTTTTCCCAGTAAGCTGTATGTAATCCAGTGGACATATATTGTAAATCTGAATATTTCTTTATGTATTTATACTCCTCAGGAAGAGACCCCTTCCCTGAAGATTGTTGACCAACAAGACCCCTCTGCACTGGTTGCCACAGAGGCTGCAGCCCCTTCAAGCCCAGCCCCTCAGGTCCTGGATCACAAAGAGGAGGATTCAAAAAGGGAGACTGTGGATGAAGAGTGACCAAAGCTGTTGGAGTTTGAATCATCATAATTGAAATTTATCCGATGAAACAGAAAACTTTCTCCTCCTTAACATACGTATGGCCTGAGGTGCCTAAAGCACCCAAAAATCAATGGGAGGAGGGTGCTAATGCTTGTTGAGGTGCCTCTGATGGGAGGAGGCAACTGTATTTATCAACAGTAATCCTGCTCATATTAACAGCAATATACCATATATATATATATATATAAAATTCAATATACAGTGCATTCTAAGATGCTATAAAAGCCTATATTTCTTAGGGGGAGAATAATATAAAGTATACCTCACCCATTTTAAGCTAAGCCTTCTCATTTTTTGCTACATGCCTTCTTTTCGCCTTTCTGAAAGCTTTTTGGATGAACTGTGGTGACATGAATGTGCAGAGCCTGCAGGTCAGGTGTGTTTGGGTGTGGAAGAAGTATGTTACCAAGGATACGGGAATACGGGAATATGAACTCCCTCTGCTTGCTTAAATGCTTTGACTCCATCTTGTTGGTAAGACTCTAACCTCCATCAGTTGTTTGATGCAATCAGTTGATCAATCAAAGATTGCTCTGCTGTGATATTGGTAGAGCCCTGAGGGACATCTGGAATCTCAGGTAATCCAAAAATATGATGGATAAAGATATTGAAGAGTTATCTTGACATCCTGTTTTCTTCATTTTGATCCTTATCCTCTAAACTGTGTTTAACCAAAACAGGATGTGTTGTTTATACCTTTTTATATTAGCAAAACAAGTGTAGGACAGTATATCATATAATCTCTTTGCCTTTGTTCTTTGTTATACTGATTGCTGCTGTTGGGTCATTTTTGTAGTCCATCCAGTTCAAAGTCTGTCATTATCCTCATCTCAGCCAGTGAAGCTAGAGTAGTTACATAATAATTTTTTTGTTTGTTTGTTTGTTTGAAACGTTTGAAAGAACGATAAACCAATGTGATCAAAATGTGTTAGCAGACATAATGCAAGCACTTTCTATTGGAATAAGCTAAAGCTTATGCTCAAGTAAGTTTATATGACTGCAGTGCTGCACTTCAAAGTGGATCTCACTTTAAAGAAAAAAAGGGGGGAGTTACAGACTGTACCTGCATCTGACATGTACATAATCCAGAGAATATACACATTTCTGGGTGCTTTTCTTCAACTACATTAACACCATATATGAACTGTTATTTGTCAATCTTAAAGCTGACTTAAACTCTGCATTCCTTAGTCCCCTCATATTTACTGGCCAAAGGCCTCGGGAGTTGCTCCCTGACATGTTCATGAAATGGACAAAGACTTTGTTCTCAAATGTTTGTTCTCAGGTGGCATCCAACAGGATGCTGCCATGTTACCTCCTAATGCCAAAGCTATGCCAAGGTAGAGATGAGCTACAGAATAAACTGTGCTTTCAGGAACAGGACATGACACAGTCACAACTCTAGAGATATCAAGTACGTAGATGTTTATTTGCTCAGAACAACACTAGCCAACTCTAGCTTACCTCAAAATAACTCTTGTGTCATGAATGTGTTAAAAAGGCTTACTGTCAGAGAGCTGACAGGGGTCCTCATTGTAAGTGTTGATGAAACTGACAGTGTTATGTAGCATTAATAACGATGGGGTTTGACCTGCATTGTTGATGTATAATCACCTCAGAGAGTCCTCCCGTCCAGTTTTGGATGGGAACCCTAGAGCTGCACGCTGTTTCTGACTTACATGCTCCTCTCTTTCTGCTTTTATCGGACATTGAAAAACAAGAATTAAAATAAAACTGTTAACAATGTCTCTGATTTGTCTTGATTTATTTTAAATCATTTAAGGTTTAGCACATTGAGTTGGTTTTGAGAAAACTACCTCTCCCTCTTTGTGACAATATGGCAACTCTATCAAAGGTTTCATTAAATGATGGTGAATTAAAAACTTCCAGTTAACTTTTACACACAGCTCATCTAAGGAATGAGCCAGTGTAAAAAATGAGATGGAGAAAGTGGTAGAAAAACGACAGATTTGCCTTGATCTTTTTAGGGGTGGACAAAAGCTCTTTTCTTCATTCCTGTTCTTTTTGTGTTCTTGAAGTGAGATCAATAAAAGAAAGAAAGAAAGACCAGGTGTTCCTCTTAAAAGAACACCTCATGTCAGAAAAATGTCTTGGTAAGGGTAAAAATCTCTATCATTTCTTTCAATTCTTCCTCATAGAAAAAAGCAAAACCAACACTATTTGCAGAATGCCTAATGCTGATGCAAAGTGTTTATTGAAAAGCTACTGGGAAAATATTGTTTTGCTCTTGCCTATACACCTGCGTGTTAGCACTATGATACATTTAAAAATGTGTTTTTGGAAACTTTTGGTTTTGTTGGGAAAGCTTCACTTCTCATTATTCTGTTTTATCTGCATATTAAAAGTCCAACAACAAGCTACATCTCAGAAGGAAGGTCACTGAGAAATGTTGTATTTAAAACATTACCATACATATCCTGCTGTGGTGTCCCTTTTTTTAATTTGACATACCTGTTACAGAGGGATACTGTTGGTAATATGTTATAAAAGTTGTTAGTTTAGACTGTTCTGAATCCAGTACAAACTTTTTACAGTTGCTTTAAGGTTTGCAGTCTTAAAAGCAAATATCAAGCAAAAGCCCAGCATCAAAACAATTTATAAAAACAGGATAAATGTAAATAATTTACAAAGGTAAACAACCAACTTAAAGCAAGCGTAATGCCGAAAAACCACTAGTATAAACGTAAAGTAGGTTAAACAACAACAAAAAAAAACAGCTAGCTACTGCAGGCTCCACTGTCACTGGAGGCCTGCGAGGTTCAGTTTAGCCTCTGAACCTCACCACCTGTACACTGCTTTATACTGGTCCACACAGGATTGCTGACAGAGGAGGGATGAAAGACAGACCACAACACTCTCCTCCTTTATATAGCCTCCTCCTCATCTCCAGATCAGCCACACCTCCACTGCAGGGAGAGAGAAACAAAGAAACTGCACACACAAACACCAAGGGCGCAAAAACAGAATAGAATAACCAATCAACAAGATATGTATCTCAGAGCAAACACTGGTTGATCAAGGGTGTGCCTGATGTGATAAAAGCAAATGTTATTCTGTGATTTTTCTGTTGAATGAATAAGCCTATAGGCTGCAAGTCACACTACTTTCACCTTCAGGCCATTTAAACATGCTACAGTTTAAAATGTGTTCATTAGATTTCCTTAAATGTGGCTGACCTGCAGCTTAATGTTTACTCCTGCATTTTATACAAGCTGAGGTGGCTTACTTCTGGTAAATGCCAAAAAAAAAATGCCAAAAAGATGTGGTTTGTAAGTATATCACTCACAATCACATTAAATTAAAATTCAGAGAGATTAATAACATTTTAATTTCACTTTTGTCAATGGTCTAAACTTTCAAAGTTTGTTCTAAGTGTTATAACAAGTTGTATCACAGGTTGAGATGACAGTCTTTGTCAAACACTGAATAATATTTACTAATTTGGCAAAGAATAAGGAGACATTTAACAAATCATGAGAGAATGAGAGGACAAAATGGAGACTTAGCATTTAACCAGGCTTAAAGTGTTGTGAAAAGTATTCGCCTCCTTTCAGATCATCAACAAATTTTAATTATCAGACAAAGATTTCCTGAGAAAACATTAAATGCAGTTATGCCAATTTCATTTATTATGGGAAAAAGCTATCCGAACTAACCTAGCGCTCTTTAAAAAAATAAATAAATAAGAAAAAAGAAAAGAAAGAGGTGCTTGAAAACCCTCCAAAATGGCTAAAAAGCAAAAACTGAAGAAATCTGTGAGAGGGCAAGTACCTTTTCACAGCACTGTATGTAACAGTCGAGAGTTCATCAAACCATGTACTTCAGCTCCTGATGTTTTTCCGAGCTTATTTTAATGCAGACTGTGGCTACTTTAAGGAGGTATTACCGATGTGCAATAATACTCATTCAAATTCATATGCTCCAACTTTTTATGTTATTTTCAGAGGAGCAGTATGTAAATATCGAGTTCTTGGCTGGATGCATAAAGATGAAATTAACATGTGTAAGGAAATGGGTATTAAGCAAAAACATGTGCCTCACAGCCCAAAGACACATCGACTGATGTAATGTAATGGCAACAGGATCAAATAAAGCTGTTTAGCTTTAAGTTTGGCCCTGGCGCTCCAGTCTGGAGGGATTCCAAATGTTTAAACCGATTTATTGAATCAGCATATCGGATGTGCATGTGTGAGTGGATGATCAAGTGTGTGTTTGTTTATGTGTGTGCAGGTTTCATCACACCCTTATTTTGTCCTTTATTGATATCAAAATTTGAAAATGAGCAGTTTTTTGACTGGTTGTTTCTTCCTTTAACCACATGAGGGAGACATTGTCTTCTGTTTTTTTTATTTTTTTTTCTGCTTTTATTTGTTCTGCAGCCCTGGAACCTTTGTTGGAAATGTGGCTATTTAAAAAAAAATCGTATGCTTCTTTTATAAAACTAAAACTGAAAGGAGAAACTTCATCAAGGACCTTAACAGCACTTTAAAACCTAGAGGGGAAACCTCATCTCAAATTGATTTACAAGATGAGACAACATGAGTATCAGCGATCACACAGATGTATTTGCAAGTCAAATAAATCTATCTCTGTTTGCTGTTGGGCACTCCTGCAAGAGTTGTATTGCTGTAAAACCCTAACTATCTGGTCCATCCAGCAGTCTAAAGCACAAACTCAGGATAAAAACTGCAGCAAAATGTGCCTTAATGTGCCTGTATGATTGCTTAATTACTGTGGTCAAAAATGTTGGTGCACACATGATGGAGTTAAACTCCCCCTCCCACCCCTTTTCTCCCTCCATTTAACTCCCATGCAGCTCGACCCAGACATGCCTCTATGTCTTCTCCCCATCCTGATGCTGCTGCTTAGGCAAGGCTGAACAGATGATTTATTTTAGTGATCAGAAGAGTTATTTACTTTGAAAATTTAAACAAAGCAAAAAAAAAAACGTTCATTCAAAATAACCTGTTTATATGATGTTCTCACATCCTTAAAATTCTGTGAATATTCAATCTGGAGTTAGGCCCACATACGAATATGATAATATTCAGTTGCGTGAATTCATTTTATATGCCAACATTAGTGAAAGAAAGTCATCGCTCACCTCATATAAAGGGAAAACTTGTTTTGGGGGGTTTTTCCTATTTCAGTGATGTATGAAGTGAAATGCAATTCGGTGCAACACAGTGGCGCCAAGTGACCACCTTTTCCCTTGTCCAACTTGTACAATGAAAATTGAAAAAAGGAAGTCCTAACCGAAACTGCCTTCAAGTAAAAGTATGGTGTTTCGGACGATGCATGTTTTTGGAGACGGTTTAAGGAGAAGGAAATGAAAATTTAACAATCAGGGTTTTTTTTTATGCAGCCTGGGCTACATAAAAAAACTTTGAACTGGTGTAGGCAATGCACATCAATTTGCCTTGATGTGTGTCTTTGAGTTTCATTGACCTGTTCTGTGCATGATTGTTTATGACTGAATGATTATGAGGGATGGTTTATCTTTACACTGTGTTCACTTTAAAAATGTTAATGAACTCAAACAGATCAAGTAAACAAAGACCAGTTTTTTGTTGTTCATACAGTTTTTTTCAATCACTGCATTTTTAATTTTTCTGCTTCCTGCACATTAAAAAACATGAACAAAATACATGACTGGAACAAACGGGAAACAACACAAAAACATTATGACACTCAATGGCTGAGGCCTTGTACAATGGCCAAGGCATTTAATGGCCTCAGATACTTACGCTGGACTGTGCCGTTTACCAAAATACCAAAGTGTGCTTGGGCACGCCTCAATGGCGCAGTGGACTTGACTCACGCTGCGCCACCAGCATGGCACGAAAATAGAGCCCTAAGACTCCACCTCTGCTCTGACAGCCATGGCTTCAACCCACTTAAAAAGGAGAGTGATTATTAAAGGAAGGGGCATGGTGTAAGGATTGTGTTTAAAGGGCCCTTATTATAAATAATCCTCTTTTGGGTGGTTTTCTACCAATATATGCATCCCCTCGAAGCTGACACCCTCCCCCCATCACACACTCAAATGAAAAAATTTCATTCTCTCCCTCTCTTGCTTTGCCCTCCTCTCTGAAAACATTAATGCAAATGGGCGGATTGAAAAGCTGTGCAGTTATGATGACATAATCGCATAAGCCCCTCCTACATGTTGGTGGCACTGCCACCGACAATCATTAGCCCAGCCTTCTAAAACTTCTTCGCTGAGGTAGCGTCCGCCATTTTTCCCCCTCACATACACCGCTCCAGTACAGCAACCATGGGGAAGCTACGACTCAGCCGCTGCTTGGTTCCTGGCTGCACAAACAAAGACAGGAGTCTATTTCTGCCTCCTTCGTTGGGTGTTGTGTAGACATGAAAATGTATACACAACTCTGAAAATGTTGTATGTGTGTGCTAACCATTTCACCATGCACTGTTTTACCAACGAGGGGTAGTTCAAAGCAGGATTCACTAATAAGCTGAAGATAAAGCCTGGATCCTTACCGACTGTCCGTGTCAGGAACCCAACTTCAGACGTGGAAGCTGTACGTTCTACCATTGTATGTTGCTTTACCGCCACCCGTATGACTAGTGCTTTGGCTGCAATTGCATGTGTTTACCATTGTTGGTATTCATATTTGGACTTTGGGGTGCAGAGGCAAGTTGGTGCTTCCAGCCACGGTGGTCTGGAGGTCCTCTGAAGAGGTCCTCAGAAGATCTCTATACCACCACTCCTGAACCACCAGGGCGGTGCCGGTGTTGTGCAGTAGAATGCAAACACTACATCCAGAAATACAGGCTAAGTGTGCAGAAAGGAAAAT